ACCACATGCCACCTGGACTCATCCAAGAGGACAACGCTTACGGCGCGACTACGTTCTGTGCAGTGCCCAAGCGTTCCAATGGTGTAATTCCTCATGGACAGACCAGGCCTATGACGGTGGATTTGCTCATGAAGACCATGTTCCAGTTTGTCTTCAACACTCAGGGTGGTGGTATGTGGAACAGTCAGCTGCACAGCATCAGTGGGATCGCTGTGCATTTCTCGATCCAGTAACATGCGATGCTTTCCAGCAGGCCCTTGCCACTTTGCCCGTGCCCAGCTGGACTGTCAACATCAATGATCATGCTGACCATTTTCAACATGGAGTCATGCAGTTGGCCCGCCAGTTTTTTACAAAGAAGTCTGGTGAAAGAGTGCGTCCTCGACTATCAGAGCCCACTCTAGCGCTCATTCAGCTCAAGCGCTCCTTCCTGGATTATGCCCGTGCACAGTCCTGTATCCAGGATGAAGACGTCAAGACTGAATTGCGCTCTCTGGAAAGAATCATCCGAGCTCGTGTGCAAGCAGATCACAGACTCTTTTATGACCAACTGGTGCACCAACTGGCCCAAGATGGAGCTCTTCATGACTTTCGTTCGGTTTATCAGTTGCTGAGTCGACTTGGTGGACGACCACGCCACAAAAGCGGCAAAGGGCGACCCCTACCGCTGTTGAAAACCGAAGATGGAAGGGTGGTCACCTCATTTCAAGATCAACAACGACTGTGGCTCCGGCAATTTGCTGCGGTCGAAGGTGGAGTGCCAGTGGCTCGGCAAACATTGCCGACACTCATGCCTGCTGCCCTGGGACTTCCTGCCGAGAGACTTGATCTCACTGCTATTCCCACATGCGAGCAGCTGGCATCCAAGATTCGCAAAATGAAAAGAGGCAAAGCTCCAGGTCCTGATGGCCTGCCGGCGGAAATCTTCAAAGCCGGAGCTTTACCCATGCTGCATCATGTGGTCGCGATGACGACCAAGACAGCCATTCATGCTCGTGAACCCAACAGCTGGCGTGGTGGACGCCTTATTCCGTTGCACAAGGGCAAGACAGCCAGGTCAGATCCGACCGGCTACCGCTCCATCTTTGTGAGCAATTTTGTCACCAAGCTCTACCACTCGGTTCTTCGAGACCATTTAGTAGACGTTTGGCATCATGCCCTTTCTCACTTGCAGTTTGGAGGTCGCAAAGGATGCAGCTCTGATACTCCTCATCTACTGGTACAACAGCATTTTGAATATGCCCATGCCAGAAAGCTGCCATCTGCTGCATTGTTTGTAGACTTCAAGTCGGCGTTCTACACTGTCATCAGGCAGGGTCTTTTCTCCGATAGCCTGGATGAAACCACGTTTATGGTGGCTATGCATCGGCTTGGAGTTGCCCCGCAAGACTTGGTTGAGCTACTTTCCACGGCAGCTCAGGATGAAGCCACCAAAGGCTTATCCTCGCATGTGCAAGCATTGCTCACAGACTTGTTCCGTGGTACATACTTTGAGCTGGATGGCTTATCCGAAGTCGCTTTGACTTCGCGTGGAACGCGACCAGGGGATCCTGTGGGTGATATCCTCTTCAACCTCGTGATGGCCATTGTGCTCAAGGACATCACTTTTTCGCTCCAAGAGGCATCCTCAGCTATGTGGCTTGGCTCTCCAACACCTGTGGATGCGCTGCACCATCATGCCGAGCCCCCTGTGTTTGCCTTTTATGAGGTTGCTTTCGTAGATGACTTAGCAGTGCTCATGCGAGCCGCGGACATTGAGCAGCTCCTTGACTTTGCCGCACAGGCCCTGCAGGCCGTGCATAATGCAGCAGGAAGAAGGGGATTATCCCTCAACATGCAAGCCGGCAAGACTGAGCTCATTTGTGCTCTCGTCGGCCCTGGAGCCCGGAAGGCCAAAATTCAGTTGGCGAGCCAGCAAAACTTGCATCCGGTCACATTGGGTGGCAAGCTTCATCACCTTCGACTGGTCCATGCTTACAAGCATTTGGGCGGTTGGGTTCATGCTGACGCGCAACCTCGCCACACAGTCAGGGAACGGTTGACTTCGGCACGCCAAGCATGGGGCCCTTTGGTCCGACCGTTTTTTCGCAAAACTTCGGTCCAATTGTCCACAAAGGTCATGGTTATTCAATCGCTGGTAGTTTCGAGGCTCACCTACAACATGCATGTGCTCACGAAGCTTTCACCTCGTGTTCTTCGAGAATGGGAAGCTGGCATGCGCTCCATGATTGCGCCTTTGGCCCGGCCCTTCTTGCTGGGACTCCCGCCATTTCAGTTCACGACCACTACCTTGTGTGGATTGATCGGAGTATTAGCGCCGACTGACCAGTTGCATGTGAATAGATTGCGCTACGTGAAACGATTGGTGCAACATTGTCCAGCGGTTCTTTGGAACCTTTTACATGCGTTGTCAGATGCTCCTTACTCCTGGATCTCCTCCTTGCGTGAATCATTGGACTGGCTGCGGAAGCACTATGGCCCCGATCGTCTTCCTGGACCAGATGCACCCTTTGAGGACTGGTGGTCGCTTATTGCGTTAGCTGAGCGCTGGAATGGATTCGTCAAAAGGGCCGCACGAGCTTGCTTGTCCTTTAACAAAGCAGTCGCTCAACAACTGGTTTGGGAGAAGAGCGTGGAAGCCCAATTATTGCGAGATGGTGCGCTTGCCCCTTTGGACCAAATGCCGGCTCTAGCGGAGCCCTGGGCGTGTGAGAAATGTGAGTTGGTTTTTGCTTCGAAGAAAGCCCTCGCAGTCCATGCGGCCAAAGTCCATCAATATCGTGCCCTTGTTCAACACTTTGCCATTGATGGCACGTGTCCCTGCTGTTGCCGAATTTTTCACCAGCGGAGTCGCCTGATGGCTCATTTACGGACGATGCATTCTTGCATGGAGCAGCTTCGCGCTTGCTTTCCTCCGTTGCCGGAAGTGCTGATTCGAGAGTTGAATGACTTGGATGCTGCTCACACTCGTGAGATGAAAGCCCATGGTTGGTTTGGCACCAGAGCTCTTCAACCTGCGCTACGAGGATTTGGCCCTTCTTTGCCTGCACCAGGGTCACCGGAAGCGGCATTGATGCTCAGCAAGTGGACCCTTCGCCGACCTCCTGATCAAGAGCCTATGTTTGAAGCTTTAGCTGGACATTGCGACGCTCCGGCAGGCGGGACTAATAACCCTGAGGTCACTGAAGCAGAGTCGTGTGACTCCATCCGCTTCGTTGTTCAAGCCACGGGCAACATTGGAGGCAAGGATGGTCGTTACGAAATGGGAGGCCTTGCTCGTCTTCATGCAGCACTGCATATTCGCACTTTGTGCTTCATCCACTTTTTCAGCGGATATAGGCGAGAGCAAGATCTCCAAACCTGCATCGAAGGTCATTGGGTTCAAGGCATCACCCAGCTCTTCTGCGTGTCGGTCGACTACTGCCTGCAGAATGCCAATGGAGACCTCACTTCAGAGGTCAACCAGAAATGGTGGACTGACCGCATCTGCAGTGGGGCTATCTGCGGCGTTGGAGGCGGCCCGCCATGCGAGACGTACAGTGCTGCTCGTCTACTACCTGACGGCCCACCACCGCTACGTTCCCATGACCATATTTCTGGCCTGCCATGGAACTCACCCAAAGGTTGGAAGCAGACGGAGCTAGGGAGCATTCTTATGAGGTTCATTTTGCAGATGCTCATGCTCGTCGCCAGGATTGGAGGGTGCGCCTTCTTGGAACACCCCGCCTTCCCGACCTGGGCGATCAAACATCGACCGTCTTCCATTTGGTCGACAAAGGTGGTGAGGCTTTTGCGCAGATTGGCTTGCACCGAGATCCTGACGCTGGACCAGTGCATCTATGGATGCCCTGCGCGAAAACCTACAACCCTTATGCTGGTGCGCATGCCTGGAATGGTGGCACGGACTCGTGCATTGGGAAGAGGTGGCCGCTGCCCTCATGCATGTGGATGGCATCAAGCATTGGCAGGGCGCAATGAGCAGGGTGCCTTTCATACTTCGGTAGCGAAAATCTATCCACCGCAATTGAATGCGGCGTTGGCGCAAAGCGTCGCAGATTTTGTGCTTGACCTCACAAGCACCGGACAAAGGGTTGAGCCCTTGCCCGAGGATTTTTGGCTGTTGCAGTCCTTCGACTACGTCGACCGCACACAGGTGCAACCCGACCATTACGGGTAGGTCGCAGTACAGGAAGTTTCCAGGCGTACTGAATCCACTAAGGAAAAGAAGAGACTTGCTGCAGGTCACAGAACACTTCAGTTGATTGGGAACCTGGGGTGGCCGTTTGAGAGGTTTTTGCGTGCGGCACAATCTCATGCTTTATCTAAATGCACCTATGGTTGGCTTGCTCGTTTGCCTACCTCCACGTCCAGCTGGAAATGCTGGGCTCAGGTGCGAAGAGCTCAGAGGGTTCACCAACAGGCTAACAAATATCTCCGGGCCATTATTTTTGGGGGGAATTGCCATCTTGACATGTTGGTTGCTTCTAACCTCATCAGAGTTGTTGCTCGTCTTTTACAGAGACGGTGTGTCCGATGGGCAGATCGATCCACTGGCGGCAGTCCAGTGGCCACTCTGCACAAATGGTTCAGTTTGCATGGGTTTTCGGCCGCACGGCCTTGGACCTGGATTTCTGACCATGTATCTTTTAAGGTCGATCTTCAAAGAATGCCGATTAAGAATGCTCAGCATGCTGCTCGCCAAGGGTGGCGTTGGCACCTTTGGCAAAAATTCCTGAATTGTGGTCGCCATGAGTGCGACGAAGTGCGCCCGCTTTCTCTTCAGCAGTTTGTTGATATTGACTTTAAGAAAGTGAGACAGTCCGCGATTGATCACACTTTTCGTGCTGTGTGCACGGGAGCGATGCTTTCCCCAGCTGCTATGCAGCACAGAGATGAGGTCCCTATTAACTGTCCGTGGTGCGAGAATCTTGGACACTGGAATCACGTGGTGTGGTTGTGTGACAACCGCCCGGTTAAACTTCCCTTCCCTGATTCTCCTGTTAAAGCCAGGTTTGGATGGGGAGCCTCACCTGAACAGGTGAACTGGATCACTCAGGCTGCTGCTGCTATTTGGAACACCCGTCATGCTGCTGCTGCGGCAAACTCTGCGGCTGGCTCTGCGGCTGGCGCTGCAGCCGAGGCTGCTGAATAGCCTTCACCTTGGCGCGTGAGCGCCTTTCATGCAGCGGTCGTGAGTCTCCGGCGCGGCTTCTGTTCAAAGACCTTCTTCTGCACCGAGCAATGACTGCAGTAATCTGAAAGGAAAAAAAGTTCATAATATCTCCCACACTCTCACCATATCGCCTCCAATTCTTTAAACATCTCCAGGGGCAGTGAGAAACTGCCGCTGCCCGTACTGACGCCAGCGAGTTCCTGCGCGACGTCCGGCACCTTGCCGTTGCGGTCGCGGTTCTTATCCTTGGATGACCAGTGGTGAGATTGTGGGATCTATACACTGCATACTCTGTATATCCAATTTATATGAGATATTTTGATATATGGCTTTGTCAGATATGATAGGGTACCTCTAAATCCATTGGTTAATCATCATTTTCCCTGTTGAAAGTGTCATTTTGTGGGATATACATGGATATAAACGATATAAACTATTTTCAGGCAGACTCATCTATGATATATTATGATCTATTACAATATAATAAGATATATTACTATATATCGAGGATATATCATGATATACCATCACTCCAATATAGAGAATCTGGCTGAATGGGCTTGGAATGGTGATTTCTCAGGGTGGAACTGCGAATTGGGAGACGTAACTGATTGAACCAACAGTGATATAGTGCTTTGGGGTTGTCCCAAAAAAAAAGTTGGGCAAACACGGGAAAAACCAATAAATCCAGCCGTTTCAAACTTCATCTTCCTCATCAACATGGCAATTTTTGAGATATCCTCCGCTTTGAGACATCCCCATATCTGGATGTCAATTGCAGAACAGAGAGATGTAGCAAACCTTCAAAATTTAGAGATTTCACTGATTTCACCAATGAAGATGTTAGGCCGAAGTGAGCAAGCAAATTATGGGCAAACTTTACCAGACTTTATGATTTTTTCATGAATCATGAAATATCAATGGGATTTCTGTAGAATTTTCATGACTCCAGTGGATGGATCAGCCACCGCCGAAAGCTCCGTGACATTGCGCTGGCCATGGCCATTGGGCCATGGAATCCCCAAGTTCAAGGTGACTTACCAGAAAAATCATGAAAAATCAGAGATGGACGACTCTGAATTTTACCATCAGAAAATTCATTTGATGGCCAGGGTGCATCATTTGCATCGCTGGGCGTCCTTGGTTCCAAGTTGCAAGGAGGCCCTCAAAGTTGGCAACTTGGCTTGGACTGTTGGGTTGATTATGGGGATAAAACATGATACAACTATAGTCTAGAATAATACATAATAATCCATAATGATCTATAATAATCTATAATGATCTATGTGAAGATTGCGGTGCAAGGCCCACGAAGTCCCCACCTATCCAAGTGCCTCAACGGGCTGCAGCACCTTTTCGAAAGGCGTTGCCAAACGTAGTCGCTATGGCGCAATCGTCCCGCCACTGTGATGTTAAACAGCCACGGGGATGGCAAATGACATGTGAAAAGGCAAAGTGAGAAGGATGCGGATGCAAACTTGACACAGGGAAATGTTCTTTGTATAAGTCCTCTTCGGACTTCAGTGATCACTTCGGATCAGTGGCATACAAAAGACAGAAAAAGGAAAATGGCGTCACACGCCAGAACTGCTCATAGCTCGCGCTTGCGATGCCAGTCGGGCCTCTTCATCTGGAACTCCGGCAGCGCGAAGGCGAGCTTCATCATCCAGAATCGCTGAAGCTTCGGCCAGCACTTCGGGATCTTCATCAGCAAGCCCATTCGCCATGAAGTTGTCCATGTCTTGGGCCAGCGTGGTGTTGTTCATGTCATGGATATATGGGGTCACATAGAAGCTTGCGCAGTTGTCGCAGGCATGCAACTCAATGACTGCACTGCGGTAGAGCTGATAGCATTGATCGTCCAGATGCCACACGCGTCCACGAGGCGCATGATAGATGGGCCGGCCAACCGTGCATCTGTTATGCACATGATTGTGGATTTCAGCTCGGGCACGGCCTACAACATCTTTTGCTTCGTTGAAGATGGCTCTCAAGCGACCAATCTGTCGAATGTAACCCATTTTGTGCCGGTTCATCTGGCGGCACTGTTGATCCTTCTGCCAGAAACTGGCTTCAAGGCTCTTGAGCTGTTGCTGCAAATGTCGGATTTCTCGATCTGCAATGATCGGTCCACCAGGAACAGTCAGCTGCTGGACCTGTCGGGTCAGCTCCTCGATCTGGTCCTGCAGGGCGATGTTCTCCACCACTTTCTCATCCAAGCGGGCAGACAGGCGATCGCTTCGGATGTGCCTTTGTCTCAAAACGTGATTTCTTCCAATCCACCATCCATGTACCCATCCGGTGAGGTAAGTACCCACCACAAAGACCACCAAGGTCAGCACCACGACGGCATCCCAGAAGTAGTCCCAGTAGGAAGCCTTCGGCTCCTGGATGACGTCGATGTAGGGACAGGTGTCAGGTGTGATTGGATCGCTCAGGGGAGCAGCGGCAGCACCAAGTGGTTGCAGAAGTCCAAGCATGAGAATGCAAAGGGCAAAGCGCAGCAATGCTCGAAGAGAAAGGATCGTCCATACGCCCTCAAACTTTGTTTCCGGGTCGTAGGAGATGTCCATGATCGGGGTGTGCACAATCGGCAGGGTGTCGTTGAAGTTCAGGTCAATGGCTTGGCCAGGACGTGGCTCCAAGTGAGCTGCAACAGCCTTGCCAGACATCTCATCCCAGTCGTTCATCTCATAGTTGATTTCCTCGCCAAAGCAGGCAAAGGTTTCCACAGGGACGTCTTCAGTGGTCTCAGGTTCCTCCACCACTGTGGCAAGAGGCTGCGAGAACTCATCTCTGCTGGCATTGCGGTCGGAGAGCTTCTTGCGCTTGGCCGCGATGTAGTCAGGATCCCAAGACAGCTTGATCCTTCCATAGCGAAGGCGGTCTGCCAGCAATTGGCGAGTGCCCTCTTTGGTCAGGGAATCTGCATACTGTCTCTCACTGGAGATCCACTTCAAGCGGCCACCAAGCGATTCCAGCCCTTCTCGCAAGACCTTGATCTCCAAGCCAGTGCGCTTGTCTGTCAAGCCACTGCTGAGGCTCTCTCTGTAGTAGCTGTCGTAGAGGGCTTTGGCGTCTGTGACAAGCGTAGGCTCCAAAGGGCTCGGCTTGTGCAAGATGTTGGCAAGTGGCTCGTTCGGCTCCAAGAGGTGTTGGTAGAAGCGGCAAACAAAGTCCATGTTGTCGCAGGCCTGACTTGCTGATTGGGCTTCGGCTCCAAGACTCGAGCGGGCAACTCGTGGCAACTTCGATGAGCGCCAGTCAATGATATGGTAGGCTCCTTCGGTGCCATCAAAGACGTCTTTGGAGACCAGCATGGTCAGGTAGCCACCTTGTGAGGAACCGTCACGTCGAATGCCAAATGCTGCATCGACCATTGTGACAAGTCGTAGATCATGCACATCACAGATGCGTTCGTAGCAAAGTGCTACGTCAGCGTTGAGCTTGGCAAACTTGAGCAAGCGATTGGCATCGTGGATTGATTTGACCAGTCCTGCAGAGACTTGTCCAGCCAAAAGAGATGTAGAGCACTGCAAGTGCGGTTGTGATTGCACAGCGGGCCATTGTAAGGACCCAAGCAAGCCTCGCATCTGGGTGACCTCAGACGGTGTCATGTAGTCCTCAGGACCTCGATCACGTTGAAGTGAGATGGGCTTCACCTTGCGCAGATACTCTGCGTGATCCACTTTCCATCCACCAGTCGGGGTCTTTTGAAGGCTTGCGCCACAGTACTCCAGCTTGTCCTGGTCCTTCCATTCGCGGAAGTTGAAGATCTGTCGAAGCTGCTTGACAACGTGTTGATATACCAAAGATTCTTCAAGTCCACCTCCAAGCATATCATCCACGTGGATGCAAACCATGCCAACGATCCGTTCGGATCTCAAACACTTGCTAGGGTCAGAGGCTTGAATGTCGGGGAAGTCAGCCTCGCAGATGAGGAAGCAGCAAGGATCCAGCATATGAGGGCGCAGCCCAATTGATGTCAATCTCCTTGAAGCTTCGAGAAACCATCTCCTCGGTGCGTCGATCTGTCCATAGCAAGGTTTGCGCAGCAGCATTCGGGTCGTCTCATCAGCACCCAAGATGTTGAGAACTTCTCGGGGTAGCTTGACCCATAGTTGTCGTTCTTGAGGAAGTCCTTGTAAGAATGCTGTTGCAACGTCGGCTGTCCATCCACACCACTGCAGGATTGAAGACAAAGACAGAAACATAGAGCGGCTCAGGCGGCTTGTGGTGGGAGCTGAAGTTTCCACCTTTCCTTCAAGCGCGTCCTGGTCGTTGTAGCCGCGGACCACCAATCGAGCCTTAGCTCGCGGACTTCCGTCCGGGTTCTTGCTCCACTTGAGCAGCATGCGTGAGGTCAAGGTGCGTTGCGGGTCAGCATCCCGAACGCTGGAAAACTCCCAGACTCCATTCTCGAAGAAACTGCGAAGCTCCTTGATCTTGGCCTGCATGAACTGCTCGCGCTCGTGCATGGTGAGTCCACGCTCGCTGAGCTCAGAGGAAGCTTTCTTCTTGATGGCCGCATGTTTCTCTTGTCGTACAACCCTCTTCGCAGGAGTGGTGGCATACATGGCAAGCTCTTTTCTCACAGCCCCTGTCAGTTGGTACACAGTGAGTCCAGTCCAGGCGGCCTTGTTGGGCGCAACCACAGTGTCAAAGCGGTCAGTGGAGACCTGGATGGTGCCATTGGGTGCACGCATCATCGTGACACGAACTGGGTCCAACTGCTTCAAGTCAAAGGGACAGTCCTTCTCTTTGGTGATGTCGTGACGGCGATGTCTGGGTTGCAAATGATGTCGAATCAGGCAACCAGCTTTGATCTCCCAGTAGTCGTGGAAGTTGTGGGCATCGAGCTGGAAGTAGCCATGCTCATCGATGCTCCATCCTTTGGGAAGATCACCACCACCAATGTCATCGACTGCAAAAGCTTGACCAAAGAGCTCTGAAGCAGGCTGTGGGTCTGCAGGAGGTGCTTGTTGTGGATAAGGGTCATGGCGTCCTGCACCACGTCGCATAGGGCCAAAGGGAGTGAACTGCATCGTCTCATGTTGATCCATCCTCAGCCGTCTTGTTCGGAAGTCTTCTTGGGCAGGCTCGTAGAGCGCAGAGGATGTGGATGTCAGTCCAAAAGGGTCAGGTGCAGGCGCAGATGCATCATCAGGTGTTGGAGGTAGTGTTGGAAGTGTAGCAGGTTCTTGGCCTGGCTCATCTTCATCGACGTTGATCGGCACAACGTTGTCGCCTTGTTGAACTTGGTCTGGAGGTGGTAGAGCTGGGACAGCTGGTGCTGGAAGAACAGCGGGTTGTGCTTGTCCAGGGAACTCAGGATGCTCAGCAGGTGTGTCAGCTGGTGAGGTCGGTGCCATGCTGAGCTCATCTTCATCTTCCAGTCCCAGTTCTCGAATGGCCTCATCCAGAGAAAGTTCAGGCCTCTGGGCCGTGGTGTCATAGGAGGTGCGCTGGCGCGTTGTAGGTGGCTGCAAGTCATCAGCATCATCGTCGCCAGCTTCTGAACCGGAGGCGATGTCGTCCTCGTTGAAGTCCTCAAGACGTCGTCGTCTGTTGATCTTGTTGAGGTCCAGAAACCTTGTGACACCTCTGGACCGCAGTGAGGCGACTTCACGTCGTGCTTCTTGAGCATCGGCCAGTTGGGTGTCGGCTGCAGTGAAGTCAGCACGCACATGGTGCGGTGAGCACCGGATCAGCTGCGTCTTGTAAGCCAGCCAGTAGAGCTCGGGCTTCTCGTCCTTGGAGTACTCAACCATGACGATCCTGGCAGGCCCATGCCATCTGATCTTGACCAGGCGGTCTTGTCGTTGATCCCTCCAAAAGAAGCACTTCTGCCCGATCTGCAAAGGAAGGTCTGTGCCTTGGTACTGTCGCAGAAGGGCACGTCTCAGCTTGGCATCAAGATCTGCAGAGATCAGAGCTCTCTTTGCTGCAGCTCGCTGTTGAAGAAGTTGTTCAAATTGGTCACGGTCTCCCAAATGGGCTGGAGCCAGCTCTTCCTGAATGAGTCCACCAGGAAGTCGAGGGACCTTGCCGAGGAGCCATTGAGATGGGCTGTAACCGGCCACGCTCACTGTGTCGTTGAGCTGTGGGACCACATAGGTCAGGGCCTGTCTGATGCCCTTTGTACCGGTCACTTTCATGTCATCCATGTAGATCTCGATGGCGCGCCGCAAGGTGACGTGTCGGCGCTCGACCAAGGCAAGTCGATGGGACTCAGCTGGAGCCACAATGTGCTCGATGGCATGCTGAGTTGTCCAAGCGTTCATCTCCTCGCCAACCCAGCCGCGTCCTTCGTCAGAACAGAGGCATTGTGGAAGACCAAAGTGTCTGATCCAGGCACGCTCAAGCCCATGTATGAGATGATCTCCACGTTCACCATGAAGTACCGTGGCGACAGTGTACTTGGTGGCTTGGTCAATGACACTGAGCACTGGGAACTTCTTCTCACTGGCATTGCACTTGATCCACAGCACATCAGCTTGCAGGCGTTCACCAACTTCTCGAACTTGATGTCGAAGAGCCGATGGTGCAACCTGATTTGGACGCTTGTAGCGCAAGCAAGCAGTGCATTGAAAGTGGCGAGCTGCCTCAATGACTTGGTCGCTAGCTCCACGGCTTTGCAAGAGTTCGACAAGTGCTTCAGGCTTGGGGTGGCCCAAGTTGCGATGCAATCGCTGCACAGTGCGAACTGCTTCGGTCTTCAATGCCGTCTGGAGCTTGACCAGGCATCCAGTGACCTCTTTCTGCTCAGAGACGGCGAAGCCAAAGTCCCAAAGCTGAGCAGGGTCAGGAGCACAGAGAGCAGCTGCAATCGTCGCTGCAAGGCCAGGTTGATAGTCCTCCAAGTATGAGGTGCGTCGGCCAAGTCCAGGTGCCGAGCCCTCAAGGGGACAGTGAACATGTTGTCCATCACATAGTCTGGCCAGTGCGGCCTGCATTGAAGTCTTGCTGGAGAGAATGCCAGTGGGCTTCTTGACCAACTTCCACCATCCATCCTTGTCAAGGCAGGCGCAGCCAAACATGCACTGGTGCAAGATGATCCAGTGTCCAGGAAGATCTTTCAGGGCTGTTGTGCGCCAGCTGAGAGCTCGCTCTGGTTGTTCGATGTGTGCATGTCGGGCGTTGTTGATCTGCTCCATGTAGATCTGGGCGACAAACATCAGGTGGCAGTCGTGGTGATGAGATCTCTTCAGGTAGAGGTCATGCTGTTGGGCTTCTGTCTTGGCATTCAGGTTCTGCATCTGGCTCCAAGGGCCGCAGGTTGGGGCCAAGTAGACCTCATCAGGCATCTCCGTTCGGAGTCGCTCCATGAAGGCTGTCTGGTGCTCTTCAAGGTCGAAGTCCCAACCAGTCTCATAGCTGAAGATCTCAACGTCCATGCCCATAGATTCTGCAATTGCAGACACCCTCGCACCACCGCAGTAGACTTCCCAGAGCAATCGCTTTCGGGATGGTTGATGGAGCTCTTCCGTGACATAGGCGTGAAGCTTGTTCTCCAACGTGTTGAGAGTGACATCGCAAGTCTGCAGCACGTGACGCTTGAGCGCACAAAGTCCATCCTGTGCTGCGGCTTGCACATTGGAGATGTCATCAAAGAGCTTGGTCTCCTTGTTGAAAGTGCCAAAGTCCAAGAAATCACCACTGGTGCCGCCATCAGCTGGGACCATGAGTTCAAAGGAGGGAGGAAACTGCCACATGTCGTTGTCGTACTCGTTGAGTAGAGAGACCAAGTACTCACCGTGAGCACCCACAACTGCATCTTGCCATGGGGTGTCATCCAACTTGATCATCCGACTGCGGCAATCCAAAACCAGTCCCAAAGCTTCCATGATGGGGCGTCCCAGCAACATCGGCGTCTCGCCAGGCAACAGGTACATCTGAACGTAGCCATGCTTGCCGCCAAGGTGAAGAGGAAGGCGGACAGTCCAGGTGCAGTTCAAACTGGCATCACCTCCGAAAAAGAAGGTTCGTTGGCATCGCATGAACTTGATCTCGGTGATGTCGTAGTTGGTCTCCTTGAGCTTGAGCATGTAGCGCAAGAAAGGGCCATAGCCAGAAAGAAATGCACTGGCTCCTGGGTCGAGCATGGCACAGTCATGTCGTTCATGGCCTCCAAGATCTGTAAAGATCACATGGCCGTGCTCGGAATGGTTGACAGTGCTTTCTGTCGGGGCTGCTTTGCGCTTCGTGGCTCCGCCCTTTGGCACCGGGCAATTGTAGGTCATGTGTCCAACCTGCCCGCAACGTAGGCATGTTGGAGGGCCACTTGAAGCTCTTGCACGCCCCTTCGGATCGGGCTCTTTCCCCTTGCCCCGGGGTGGGTATCGAATGGTGTTGGAACCACCTTTGCCCTTGCCCTTCTTTGTCTTGCCTTTGCCACGTCCCGGAGACACCGGGGACCCAGAGGAGTGCGGCGATGCTGCACCAGGAGAGAGGTTGCCGTCGGTGAGGGCCACTATGGGAAGGTATCCACGGCTGAGCTTGATCTCGTTGAAGCGCTTCCGAGCGTCCAAGTACGTAGCGTAGGCCGTGTCAAACTCTTCCGCCTGCTCTGCTGGGTCAACATCATCCAGGGTCTGAAAGTAGGCAGCATCAGTGTCAAAGTCCTCCAAGGTCTCATCCGCATCAACCGGTGAGGTGGCATGGGACTGAGTGTCATCCCATTCATAGAAACCTTCTTCCCAACCATCATCATCAGGCCAGTCATCGGGATCCGGGTCGTTGTCAGCATCTTCATAGTAGGCGACGTAAGCTCGCCCCTTCCCTCGGAAACCGCGATGATGTTGATGTTGTCCTCCACCAGCGACCGTCTTGTGATCCTGTCCAAGTAGCAGGAACATGGCTTCTTGCACCTTGTTGCGTTCTAACGTCGGGGCCTGGGCAGTGACCAATTGTCTCTGCTCCCTTGTCAGACCGGCCCTTCTCAGCAAGTGCCATCCTTGAACTTTTCCAGGAAGGGTGACGTCGTGGTCGGAGAGCTTGTTGTAGAGATGGTCGTGCTCAGTGGTGAACTCGAGCAGCGATTGGCCTGGGCGTCGATGGAGCCCAGTGAAGTACTTGTCGAAGTCAGTTGGCAACTGAACGGACTTGTCGTACTCGAAGGCCTTGTCGAGGATCTTGAGCATCTTCTCGAAAGCTCCTGCCTTCTCAATGTCCTCGATCGGGAAGTTCTCCAAGAGCCTCCAAGCTGTGCCCGTCAGTGAGCCAATGACAGAAAGCACGCCTTCAGCTTCCTTCTTCGCCATCCTCATCTTCATCACATAGATGGTCAATCGCTTTCTCCACTCCTTATAGTCTGAAGGAGCGCCACTGAACAAGGGGATGTAGGAGTCCTTGGTGGTTGTAACATCCAAGCCAGCTGTGCTCGCAGATCCAGTTCCACCTGACATCGTCGAAGGCAGAGGTGATCGCAGCGATCCAAGCCAAGCAAAGGAAGTCAATCACCAGGTTGTCGAATTCGAAGTGCTGTGCCCGATCTTGATCAAATAGTGCACCAAGGGCCAGCACAAGGCCAGGACAGCTCGCAGCAGTACGGCCTGCTCAGGGCCAAAGTCCAAGTACCTCCAGGCCTGCTCAGGACCTGGGAACCACGCAGTGAGGCCTGCACAGGGCCTGTAGCACAGAACGCAGTTAGGCCAGCTCAAGGCCAAGCACAAAGAACAAAAGTGGCCTGCACAGGGCCGTAGGCAGCAATGGAGTCAAAGTCCAGCAAGGGCCTGCTCAGGGCCAGCTCAAGCAAACAGCGAAGCCAGCCGGTAGCAGATGTGGCAGCTCCGCTACCAATGTGAAGATTGCGGTGCAAGGCCCACGAAGTCCCCACCTATCCAAGTGCCTCAACGGGCTGCAGCACCTTTTCGAAAGGCGTTGCCAAACGTAGTCGCTATGGCGCAATCGTCCCGCCACTGTGATGTTAAACAGCCACGGGGATGGCAAATGACATGTGAAAAGGCAAAGTGAGAAGGATGCGGATGCAAACTTGACAATCTATAATAATCTATAATAGTTAATGGGATTTAATGGGTGCATAAACCAACTTATAGCTGGGTCCTATCGGGGGAATAACAAATTCAAACATGGATTGTTTGCCTAACACTTCTTGGGACATTTCACCATACAAAACGGGGGTGTTTTTGCTCATCTTGGGCCCCTTCTGTTCGTATCGAAATCACTAGAGTCTCATAGAGCTGAATATTCATCCCCCCATAAATCTATGGACAATTAGCCTCAATTTTCAGATGCGCTTGGACAATTCACCAGTTCGATGACTTTCCCAGCAAGTTCGATTTCCAAGCTATGATCCCATTGTATCCCCCATGGCAGGTCGTCTGCTAGGGCACCAATCGTCGAGTTGTTCAAAGTTGATGGGATGCACACGTTGGACGCAGAAAGCTTCCTGACTTTTCGTGCGACGCGAAAGAGGTGACCCGAAATGGCATCATCGAAGTAAATGGCACTTTGAATGGAAGAAATCATCGGAAAATAGAGCGATAACATGTATATATATATATACTATATGGGAAAATCCACGATAAATGGAGCTTTAGTTCGCTGGGAAAATCATCGAACTATTGCTGGGAGGTTTTCCCCCTGGATATGGCTGGTGGGAAGAGTAAAGATTGGTGGCTTCGCAATCAATTTTTGGGTAATTGCAAGTTGTGTATGGTTGGGAACGCTTAGGAAAGGTTTGTGTTGGAGCTCATGAGTTTTTGTGGAAAAACCCAGTGACATAGAATCACTCCAGGCCAGCAATTGGACTTGCTGCTAATTATTTTGGTCACCCATCTGTTTATCGATTGTTCATAAGGTATTTAATTGTCATAGTGTTTTCTTGATACTGGTGTAGCACGAGTGATTCTCAACCGCTCCATAGATGGCAAAAGGGTTCTATATGACTTCGCATTGAAGCAATTCATTTCCAAAAAAAACCATGAATTGCTTCCAACAGCCACCATTCGGGTTGCAAAAACAGCAAAAACATATGTCCGTGGCTCCAAATTGCCCCTCAAACACTTGTAGAATTAAACAAGAACACCTGATAACACCCGATAACACCCAATAAGACCAGAATAATAACACCAGATAGCCCAGGGAAAAATGACGTCGTGGAAAAACCATGGTTTCCCCAAGAAAATCATCTACATGGTGGGTTTTGCACATGTAAACGTTTAAGAGAATAACAGCCATAATTCTGACCCCTCATTCCCAGCGTCTCCATCAGCGCCAGGTTTTGTTGTTACCACTTTCTCCCAGGCTTCAGGCACAACGGCCCCTGGTTTCGTGGCCCCGCAGCCCATGGCGTCGAAGAGCTGCACTTTAGAGGCGGAATCTCCGATTCGGCGTTTGGTCCAAGGCAGTCCAGAGATGTCCATAGCATTTTCATGAATTTGCACCCAAGAATTGGATGGTTCCCAAAGTCTGCAATCTGTTGCCCTTACAACCAAATGACATAGTTTCACACACACGCACATCTATCTATCTATCTATCTATCTATCTATATATATATATCATGCAATCGTGTTTTTTGCTTTTTTTCGGCACCATTTCCCAATCATCCACTTCAACACTGAGAAATCTAAATACAGATGGAGAAATAGACATTCCAACCGTATACAAGTCCCAACAAAGCCAAACAAGTGTGTTTCCAAAAGCTCATCATTTTGATACACTTAGACCGACACCATTTTTCTCATCCAGGGATCCAAAAATCATCGCAGAATCCATCGAAACTAACAGAGTTCCAGCCGAATCTCCCAAATCCCGCTGTTTCGCACCGATGAGGTCGTCGTGGAGGTAGTGGTGGAGGTGCTAGTGGTGGAGGTGCTAGTGGTGGAGGTGCTAGTGGTGGTAGTCACCTGCAGAAATAGACATCAGAAAATGATGGAAACAAAGCCAGGCGAAAGGTTGCTATTATGGAAACCCGGTAATCAAAGGTGGCTGGCTGGGAAATCCCCAAACTAAATGGAGGTTTTTATGGAACATCATCGAACTAAACGGAAGATTTTCCATTGCCATGTTTGATTACAGGGTAACATCTTTAGGGAAAAGGATGATTTTTTTTCGATCGATTTGGGGAGCGAACAAGAACAGATTCCACCAGCGACTGCAAAGACTTGACCCCGTTTAACATAAAAAATCCAGGCTGGAAGCTTGAGATTTCATCAAAAAATGATTTTCCAGCAATAATCATGTTTTCTGAGCCGGCAACCATTGGTGACATACTCAAAATGATGGCAGTTGGAGATCATTCCCAAATTTAGGCACCAAAATCCTCACAACAAAATGAAAAACTCCTCCAAATCCATCAGCAAACCCTCAAAATCCCTCCAAAATTCATCCAAATGCAGGTGAGTTGGCTTAAATCTCAGTCTGAAATCCGGGATTCCCCACTGTTGTGGTACTTGTCTCAGTACTTGTGGTGGATGTAGTGGTGGAGGTGGTGGAGGTGGTGGTGCTGGTTGTGGTGGCCAACTGCGACGACGAGGTCAACGTTTCATGGGAAATCATCTATAAATGGAGATACAATGGGAACATCATGGGATGTAATGGGGATATTTTTGAAACTCGAAATGGCCAAGTTGAGTATGGTTTGTTCTTGGCTTTACCAAATGAGTTAATTACCCAGTTGTACAATACTTACGCTGCTGAATACCTTGACCTTCTGGGTATTGGCCAAGGCTGGATCTCATGTTGTTTTGGCGATCCTTGGTTGTATCCATATTAAGTTATCCCTAATGAGCCACACACATACAATATATATATATGTGTGTGTCTAATTTACACACATATCATATACTACTTACTGGTTTAAATCGATCACCCAATTTAAGTGGGAAATTGAATGGGGAACATGAATGATCTTCTCAACCACGAGAAAGTTAGGATTTTGCAAAACACGAGAGAAACCCAAGTGTGCAATGTCTAAAAAAATTAGAATCCCTGGTAGTCAAATTCAGCACAATGGTGGTTTAATGGAAATTTGAGAATGGATTATGATAATCTACTGAATACAATTGTTGGAATTATCATAATCTGGAATCCCCATCGAGCAATTCCAGAATGGATTATGACAATACCCATTTTGCGTTTTGCATCTGAATTTTTGCACTTGCTTTGCCAAATTTTCTCGGGCTCCTTTAGCACCGGTTTTCTGCTCCCAAAACATACGTACTACTTTTTAAATGATCGCTATCATCGTTACCATTTTTCCACTACCATTGTCAGTTTTATGATTACTATCATTATTATCAGGATCACAGTCACTCGTATTATTGTCAATATTGTTATTATCATCACTATTATCGTTATCATCATCCTTCTCATCTTTATCATAGTTATCATTCCTAAACTATGAGGCATCATCATCATCATCACCATCAATACCAATACATCAACACTACATGCACATGCACACACACAACACATACATATATAATATGTATATATATATATTATATTATATATATTATAGATATTATAAATTATATATGTATATTATATATAATATATATTTTATATATATTATATCTATTATATTATATATATATATATATATTATTCTATATTATATATTATTATCTTATCTATCTTATACTCTTCTATCTATCTATGTTTATCTACTATTCTCCTTACTCTAATATATCTTCATTCATCTTCAACTCTATCTTCTATCTCTTCTCTCTTTCTCTCTCGTTCTTCTCTCTCTCCGCACTTATCTCTCTTCTCTTCTACTCTATTCTCCCTCTCCTATATTCTATTCTCCTCTTCTCTCTATTCTCTCCTCTCTCTCTCTTTCGCTCTCTCTTTCTCTCCTCCTTCTCATCTCGTCTCTCTCTTCTCTCTACTTCTATCTCATTATCTCTATTCTTTCTCTCGGCTTTCTCTCTTGTCTCCTCTCTTACTCTCCTTCCTCTCCTTCTCCTCTCCTCGTCGCTCCCCTCATCTATCTCTCCTCTCCATTATCTTACTAATATATAAATAATATAACATATATCTAAATATATATAATTTATATAATCTACTATAACATATATATAATTATATAATTATCCTATATATACTATATCGTACGTCCTCCTCTATCAATCTAATATATCTACTATCTATCCTCTCTCTCCTCTCTATCTTATATCCTCTCTCCTCCTCTCTATTACTCTCTATACTCTCTCTTATAGATCTCATCGCGCTCTCTACTCCTCTCTACATCTCTCTCCTCGCTCTCTCTCTTCTCTCTCTCCTACTCTCTTCCTCTACATCTCTCTCTTCTCTCTCTTCTCTCTCTTCTCTCTCTTCTCTCATCTTCTCGCTTATATATATCTTCTCTCTCTATATTTATGGCCCAGTGTCTGGTGGTCCTTCGCCCCCCGGGATGGTGGGCTGGGCTTGCACTTCCCAATCCCATGGCTTATCATTGATGTACCTATGTTTTTTCCCTAATTCGCTGGCCAATTCATCTAAAATGGCCGACAAGCCAAACTAATTATCATCAATGGCTAATTACTGATCAACAACTTATTACCAATCATTACCTATGATTTTCCTATGGTTTTCCGATGGTTTTCCTATGGTTTTCCTGTGATTTTCCTATGGTTTTCCGATGAAATGGCCAATTCATTGCTATTGAAACCACCACCAAACACAGCGACTCATGGGACTCCGCCTCGCATGCCAAGGCTTTGCGCTCCAGAGCCCAGGACTTGCCCAAAACGTCCTGGTTGCAGCCTGAAACGAAACCGGGAGGAATTTTCATCCAAAAGATATAGATATAAATGATATAAATATAGATTATATAAAGAATCTGGATTTATCTGGTTAATGTTCGTTTTTTTTTGTAAATAAGATCAACATGAGATTTTTGCACACATCTCAAGGCTCCATCAGCAAAATCGAGGTCATGGTAACAATTTATCAGCAAAATCGAGGTTCAGATGCTCCAAACAACGGTTATAAAAAATCAGGGTTTTGGAAGCTGGGGATGCAACCTGTCGATGTTTTTTTCAAGCATGGAAAGTCAAAACCACGGTACTTGTTCGAAAAACGTGGCTTGCCCCAAAAAATTCCTTGCAACTGACCATTGGCTGTATTCCAGATGGCCTTTTCACACTGGAACCCAGCCTGCAGGACTGCGGTCGTAGCAGTTGGACTTGGCATTCCAGCCATACCATCGCGCATGGGGCTGATCATAGTCATAGATGCACTCAGCACCACATTGACTGAACCTCGGACCATCTCCATTGATGTAGCCAGTGATGGCCGTTTAGACACACCCAAGCATCATATTGTGGGTTGTAAATCTATCTATTGCATGAAATATGCCTTTTTCGTAGCTTTCCCTCAGTTTTCACGCTTAAATCCACCATTCTGGTTATCATCTACTTACACAATCCGTCTCCAGAGTTGGCAGACCTAAACGGCATATGGTTTCTTACATATTTCTATATCATTATGTGATATATAAAACTTATATACATATGTGTGTAACATCATCATATCCCAAGGAATTATGGCCGTTTTCCCCACTTTTTCAGACGTAACAGTTCAAAGTTCGGCACAAGCTCTGCCAGGTTCATCCGCGGCACATGTGATTCGCCAAGGCTTTCTTCACCATGGGCGTATCCGTGAAATGGCAAGCCCTGGCCGACTTTCTAGGGGTTTGAATGGAATTTTTGGGTCCCGAAACCAGGATTTTTTTGCAAACTGCTCGTTTCAATGGTGTCTACATGCAAGTGACATCTTGATACACCATTGAAGCACATGCAAATCTCATTTGAAGTAGTCAATTCGATTAATTAGTAAATTCGTTTATGCAATTCATTCAGGTGCTATAATGGATGTTCAGAATTGATCCTGGTGCTATGTGTTTATGGAGAATTATTGGCGATGATGAAACTTGGGTTATGTGACGCTCCACTCTGCTGCCCAACTGTCGGCCTGGCATCCTCGCTGATGTCCACGCTGTAGCGCTTCAAGTCCCCTCACTTGTTGATCATTAAGGCGAAGACTGCGAGGGCATTGTGACATATATTAGGTTTTCAAACCTGATAACTTACTCATAAACAAAATCATAATAGTAATAATAATGCTAGTAAATACTAATTAATAATAACAATAACTTAATTAATAATAACCGCAAAAATAACAATACTACTAATGAAAATAATACCACTGATGATGATGATCATCATCATCATCATTATTATTCCTTACCATCCTTTTCACTATCGTTATGATAATCTCAGTTATTTTTTACCGCACCAAGTTGGTCGACTTAGTCGACCAGCGATCCCCGAAAAAATCATCTGGGGTTATGGTGGTAAATATTTACAACAAATAGTCTATATCTATTTACAAGAAATACACAACGGCAAATCATCTCCACGATTTCTGGTGCTAAATAGAGAAAAACACTATTTCTGTGGACCAGAATAGATGTACATTATTTAGCAAATAGTGGCGTATATTCCAAGATTTCACTGTGATATTCGAAAGCCATGGATGTTTTGGACCAGAATCACAGCGGAACCCCGGGATGAATTCCAGATTTCACCAACTTGGGCTCAACTATGCCTTGTAAGTGCCAGTTGGACCCATGGTTAACTTGAATAAATTACCCTCTGTTTATGACTAACATAGCTATTGAACGTGGCCATTTATAGTGAATCTTCCCATTCAACATGGTGATTTCCCATAGTTATGTTAGTTTACCAGATGGTAAAACAACATGAATAAATCACAAAGCTATCGTTTTATAGTTTTCAAGTATTCCACTGACGATCATCATATTTATGGCAAACAATATCTAGTACTCGCTGGTTAGTAAATCAATATTCACATGTACAGCAAACACGCAGATCTTCTTATACATATTGCATATTAATCTTAGGTGGAATGTTAAAGATTGCTGGATATTCATGTATATTCAATGATATTAATGGATATTGATAGATTGCTGAAATACAAATGGAATATTAAAGATTGCTGGAATACTAATTCATAGATATTCATGGAACCCATGGGAAGTTACACATATTTGGGACAGCCACATCTTCGGCAAAGATGCAACGATCGATCCAAGGATTCAAAGCCATCCTTGGAGGGTTTTGTGAAGTCATTGGGCTTATCCCATCTAACTGACTTACACCCTTTGATACCCATTTTTTTGGGTTCAGAATAGTTCTTGGATTTTTTTTTGGCTTTCTTTCCTGATACCATTTGCCTCGTATTTGCAACAGTTTGGACCTAGAATCTGTCATTTTGCATGGTATTTGCTACATTTTGGCATGCTTACTTTGCATTTTGCGTGGTATGTGTTACATTTTGGCATGGATACTTTGCATTTTGCATGGCATTTGCTGCATTTGACCATGTCCGCCTTCCATTTTGCATGGTAGTTGCCACGTTTTGGCACTTTAACCTCTCATTAGCATGGTACTTCAAACGTTCATGTGGGTTTCTTTAGGGCTTCTTTAGGGTTTCATTTAGGGTTTTAATTTGGGGATTCTTTAGGGTTTCATTTAGGGTTTCATTTAGGGATTCGTTTACGGGTTCTTCAGGGTTTCAGTTTGGGTTTCATTCAGGGTTTTTTAGAGCGTCGTTCACGATTTCTTTAGGATGCCATTTAGGGTTTCATTTGAAGTTTCTCTAGGGTTTCATTTATGGTTCTTTAGGGTTAATTTATGGTTTCTTTAGGGTTCATTCAGGGTTTCATATAGGGGTTTCTTGTCAAGAGTTCTTATCAGGATTTCTTTTGGGTTTCTTTGGGTTTCACCTAGGGTCTTTAGGGCTTCATTTAGGATACAAACAGGAGAAAATGAAGCAAAAGAAAAGAAAAAACACAGAGGCAGTAAAGACAGGAAGCAAAGAAGCAAAGGAGCAGGAAGTAGAGCAGCAAAAACACATGATTGAAGAAAAAAAAGGTAGAATAGTAGAAGTAGAAAGGCACAGAAGCACACAGGCAGAAAAGCAGAGAAGCAGGGAAAGCAGAGAAGCAGAAAAGAAAGAAACAGGAAAAGCAGAGAAGCAGGAAGAGCAGAAAAGGAGAGAAGCAGGAAAGCATAGAACCAGGAACCCAAACAAAATCCAAAACCTGCCGCGAAAAAAAACATCCGAATCCAAAAATAAATAGCCCTTCTTTTTTTCCCCACGATATTCCCGGTGATTTATGACCGTGGGATGATCCTCCAGTCCGGGATGCCACAACGATGTGCCATGAGCGTGTTGGACAGCTGACTGGAGAAGGGGACGCAACCCGCCTAGCGCAACGAAAACCTTGAGATTTTTGAGCATAAACTGTTAAGAACCGGGATTCATAATCCCAGATATGAAAAAGAGTGGGGTTTATCCCACATATTTTTGGGACGTTCTATGGGTTAATCATGCTAATGTGGTAAACCCAAAAATGATACCTCCCATTTGGGGATGGTTTTTACCAACGACATCTGGTGATATTGGGGGTTGTCTATTATTGGGTTTACAAACATTACTGCGAACAATAATAACAATCATGATGATGATGATGATGATTGCAATACCCATGAGGAAGAATTGTTTCATACTAAACACAGGTTGGGAAATATTCAAGGTTGAGAAGGTCCCATGTTCCAGCTGGTTGCATTCCAAATGATCAGGGAAAACCAGAATCCGTGAGGAGGAAAGTGAGATCGCGTACCAACCCCGAGTACCGCTGTGAAAGAAGTGAAATTCACACCTGAATTCCCTAAACATCCATAAACCATCCATAAACCAACCATAAACCATGCATAAACCTGAGGCTGTTCTGTTTCCCTTCTCTAACTTGCACCTCGTTCACACTCAGCGTGTGGTCCTGAGCTAATCACTGCTTGGCCCACTAATTGATTAGTAACCTTGGTTAGTAAATTCCAAGTGGGTTATCCGATTATCCATGTATATATATATAATATTTATGGTTAAAGGTCTGTATTGGGCGTTCGTTTTTGCGTCATGTACATATGTATGTATGTATGTATGCATGTATGCATGTATGCATGTATGCATGTATGCATGTATGCATGTATGCATGTATGCATGGATGCATGTATGCATGTATGCATGTATGCATGTATGCATGTATGCATGTATGCATGTATGCATGTATGCATGTATGCATGTATGCATGTATGCATGCATGCATGTATGCATGTATGCATGTATGCATGTATGCATGTATGCATGTATGCATGTATGCATGCATGCATGCATGCATGCATGTATGTATGTATGTATGTAAGCATACATTATATATATATATGTGGCTTATGACTATGGTTCCTAAGCAACATATCCACTGATTTTGGTCACTTGGGATGATTAAAAACTACCAACGGGCGGGGCTCCTTGCAGAACTTCTCCCTGCGCAGCGCGGCTGACTGTTGGGCATACCGAGGCCCACATGGGCTGCCTGGCAGGTGCAGATGGCGTGGCAGGGATACCACAGTAAAACGATGCTATTGGTCGAGAGTAAGCTGGAAAATGGGAAGCCGGAAAACCACGACAAAGAATGAGCAAAATCTTGGGTGTTTTGGGTTTTGGATCTTAAAGTTTGAGCCGTCATCAATTCGGACCCCAAATTTCCCAAGCAGCACCTGTTTGCAGCCAGCACTTCCTATTAGCCATCCACGCGTACCTGACAGGGTTGTCATCTTGAATCAGATCCCCCAGATCATGAGAACCTTCACTGAGTTTTGAGATCACCAGATCAAGATCTCCAATGCTCAACCAATGCTTATTGTTGGAAGGTAGAGATTTCTTGAAGCATACCTCTGGTGACCTGAGATGACACGAATAGCTTATGTCACCATACTGAAGACTGCCTGCAACAATGCTTGGGGAAATTTGCTGGAAATTCAATCCTTTCACCTATATATGTATATGTATATATAATTATATATATATATGTATATGTTCATGAAATGATCGGCCAAACGTCTTCGGTCTGCTGTGTTCTGCGAAAGCAAGGGTGAAGAGTGTCTCAAGTGTTCGGCCATTTTGAGAGTTGCCGGGCAACCCATCATTTCTCGTTTTTCGCTTTTCGTTGTGGTGACATCGGTGAAATTGGGTTGGAACGGGTGAACTTTTCCCGTTGACATCCATTTTTCAAAGGCGCACATGATGGTGGGCTGATCGAAGTCGTAAAGGCACCAGGAACCGCAATCTTCAAACCTCAGCTTGAAAAAAAGTAAAAGATGGATTCCACCAAGCTTTTGTTCGAATTTTTGCCGCAACAAACACAACCATCTCCATGGTGAAGGTAGAGGCATGCTCCGAAACTGGCGAAACTGGCCCGCCGGAACTAACAAAACACTCCTTGACACCCCAGCGTCCCAGCGACTACAATTTTCAAACTTTCAAACTCTTGGTGCAGAGATATGCAGAGAAAAAAACACACTGATGCAAACTGATTTATTGTTCGAAAGACATGATGGCAATTTCTTGAACTGGGGTATCTTATCCGCAACCATTTGGGGCCTGGCCAAAGGGACATGACCATGACTCAAACTCGGGACTGCACTGCCTCCAAGAATTCCCAACATGGATGTGTCTCAAAACCAAGGATACCCCAAACGGACATTTTAAGAACATGAAGTTTTCAACCGTAGGTTGGGTTCCAAACGCAGCTGAGCTGGAACTTTCACCCCTTAAAGTCACCATGTCGCACTCCAAAACATGGACAACTGCTAGCGCAGTTGTCATCCTGCTGGGATGTTTGTGTCTTTTGGGGTTTACAGAACCCATCTCCACGTCCTTCAAAAAGTTAATTCGTTTCGCTTTTCTAAACTCCAACAAAACAAAAACTCTGTAATTCGCAGGAGATTTGATCATGCACCCCCCAAAAACACGCGCGAGCTTCTACCATCCCGACGCGTACTAAAACCTTGTAGCTGGGCCCCCCTACATACGATTTGCTAAGGATCTTCGCACCTGACAGGACATAGCCATTCTTCAAAAGCGTAATTCTGGGTGAAAATCCTTGAAGTCCCCCAATCTTGGTTGATTTGCTTGGTTAATGTCGCAAACCTGCTTTCAAACCAGCAAAACTGATGGTTTCCCCCCAATGTTTCCCATCATTCATGGGGCGTGATGGGAAGTTCACGTGTCTTGCCCTGCCTGGTGCGTGTAAAACTCCTCACAACCCGCAGCTGTGGAGAACTTCTCTGCACCCTGCAACTCATTGCGTGCACCTGGAAGGATGAAGTTTGATGCAGTTTGCACAGTTTTTCAGCTTAGGTTCCCTGTTCGGTCGAACCCATGGACAGACCATTTTACCGAAAGAGACCTCTGGATATGCGCAGCTAAGTCATGCTGAAAGTGAGTTGCTCTAACGGCAACAAGCACCAGGATGTTACGAAATCTGTCAGAAATGAACGTATTGGATGCAGCTCAGGATGCAGCGGGTTTGATGCTTATGACTAGATTCACTTCCCCCTGCGCGGACACGGGTGTTTCAATTCCAGCTTGCCCAGCGGCTCCATGATGGGATGATCCAGGATGGTGATGAGTTTGCACAGCTACAGAAGGGTCTCACAAAACCGTTGTTTCACCGCAAAAGGAAGAGCCAATTCATCCCTTCAGGTCACTGAAATAAGAGCTTCTGACGAAAACCTCGCTGGATACGCCTCGAGGCATGAAACTGGATCAACATATGACAGGTTCCCTCCAACACTAAAACAGGCCTGGCTGCCAGTAGGACAACACATCTCTGAACATGGGGGCATACTCCCAAATGGTAAATGGAAGATCTTGACCACCAGACTTGGGATACCCTGACAAAAAGATCTTCATTCTGGCTGGAACTTGTTCAATGAACCCACTCACCAGTTGCTTAATGCAGCACGGCCAGATCAATATTGGTCAATGGATGGAAAAGCAAAATGCAGCCAGCCACCCTGATTGGTGATATGTCCAGTTTTGATTCTGACTCCCTGAAACCTTTCTTGGCAACATCTAATTATTTGGCGATTCAAAACTATCATTGCCCTTTTTGCTCAGCAAAATCCATCCATGTTTGTTGATTAATTTCCGTTTTTTCGACCAAATTATAGTTCAAAATTGGGTAGCCCTGAAGCCCAACCTTGCATGGTTAAGCTCTGAACAAATAACCAGTCAATGTCTCTTTTTGGACTTTTTTTTGGAACCTATACGCACTTTTTAGTAGGCAAATCCAATTACATGTCCATGATTGCTGGGTAAATCCATAGGACATATGAAACCACCAGCATCAGTTGGTTTACCCATTATATATATACACACACACACCATTAAAGCCACATTAAACCCCATTCGCACCTCACTTTTCTTGGATAAAATCGGGGGTTTCCCCAGCAGTTTCTCTCTCCGAGGCACAATAGTTGCTCATGACTTTGTCCGAGAGCTGTGCCACTGGCTGGCATGGGCCCTTGGGCACCTGACATGCAGACCATAAACGCACCATCCCCCAGTCATCACCATTTTTTGTTTGGTGGGATTGAACATCCATTCCCAGTCATGGCTGGTTTATGACATTCTTTTACTCACCTTACATAATATCATAATGGGGTTTACCCATATAGAAAGTGTCTATCTCCTTGTGGAAGTAGATAAACAATAACATACACCATCGAAAAAATCTGGGTGACCTGGTACTATTGGTCATGTTTTGGTAATGCAACCCGTTGGAACTCAAACTCACCCATTGGTTGGTGAAGTCTCTCCGTCAGACTGCCCCACCTCGCAAAGGCTTCGGCGATGTGCCACCAGAGCATCTTGCTCCCCGGCTTCTCCGCAGCTTTCTGGCGAGAACATCTCAACTTTCTTGGGCAGTTTGTTGGGATTTTTTGGGTTGGCTAAATGGGTTTTTCTTTCAAACTGTGCATTTGAAATGGTGATTTGGGGCTCTTAGCTTCAGAGATCTTCAACCATCAGGTGGGCGAATCCATGAAGAAGTCCCAACTCAAATGACACTCTCCTGGCTGTGATGAATTTCTGATGGGCATAATCGAATGCAGAAATTGCTGTCAACTCATTGGCCCCAAAAATATCCAAACATGGTATCGGCGCCCTAACAATGATTCAGTCATCAGTCAGTCTCTGGTTCCAGCAACAGTCCTACCACCTGCCTGCTTTGAGCCAGCACTGCTCAGCAGGGATCCATCGAAAGGCTGCCAAATGTGGCATCTCAAAGTCGAAAAGACACAGGGAGTTGCAGTCTTTGAACCTGATCCACAGGTCACACTTTTCAGAGAATGGGATCATGGGATTGTTGTGGGATTGTAATATGGGATGATTACCCTCTGGTAATTTAAGATAACTATGGAAAATCACCATTTATAGTGATTTTTCCCATGAAAAATAAGGTGATTTGCCATAGTTATGTAAACGTTTACCAGAGGGTATCGGTTTTCCATTCTCCAAGGTAAGTCACTAAGTCACAGAGGAATTATGTTTCCGTTCTCTCGTATCCCGTACCGTGCAGAAATCACCGCCAACCAAGAGTGGTTGGTAGTTGAACCATCCATCTCAACAACTTTCAAAATCAATTTCGTTCACTATCCAGGGTAGGATGGGAACAATTTATTTTTGCAGCAGGTTTGATTGGCGACCCGTTGTGCACCCATGTTTTGGTGGCTAAAGTCTAATTTGTGCTGGTCAATACCCTTTAAAAACCACTTTTGGGGTTGTCTCAAAATTGGGAACTGCAAAATCCCATCAAATCAGACATAAAGCTATGTCTCCTCCCATTTTGAGAAGATCATATTGTTGCTTGTATATCCCAGTATATTATAAACGGTTGGTTGTAGCCATTTTTCAGGCTTCAATCCCACAGTTTTTCCTGCTTTTCTGGGTGAAAACATGCAACTTTTTTTTTTTCGCCAAGCCACATTTTGTTCGCCAGAGCCAACTGCACCTGGCGAAATGAAAATTGCATCCCCAAAAAGATGCGGAAAAGTGTGGCACCAGGATGGTACTTGGATGATATTTACCTATAGGATCTGTTTCCAGTGGCCTGCTGCAATATTCCCTAACATCAGATGTGGAAAAACCATGGTTCCATCTATAAATCGTGGATTTTCGACAACTCTTAGTTTTATTGCAGGGTACTTGGATGTGCATCCCACTTAAGTCAATGGGAATTTCAGGATCCTAAAACGGAGGTACTGTACCATATTTTTGGCCATATTTTCTGGGGATATTCCCTTACATAGGCCTTAAAAAAAGGCCTTATATATATGTATATATATATATATGGTACGTACCTCCAAATTTAGGTTCCTGAAATTCCCATTGATTAAGTGGACATATCAGCCATATCAGTGGCTACCGTAGTGGTTCACCACTTCGCCCGGAGACCCAACCTGCTCCGTGTACATCGCCTTGCATCCTTTGGCATCAATGCCTGGGATCCACTGATGGTCGAAGTATAGAATTCAGTAATGCTATGGTATATATATATATTATAGATAGATTAAGCATTATTATAGGATTATGATACTATTATATAGTATGATATTATAGGGTTATTGATCAGTGATAATTACTGAAAAGAATATTAATAATACCACAGATTATATACCACTGTCGTATATTAATATAATGATAGTATATTATAGTTGCATAGTATTGTATACCTAGAATCCTATTATTGATCCGTGGTATATACATATATAATTCTATAAAACGATTGATACTATGGATCAACCACTACCAATGCCAATGATATGATCAATACAATATATACAAACTATATGAACCAATATGGTGGTTATATATTAGTTGAATACAGTTGTTTATGCAGTAGGATCTTTTACCGGCCCACAAATTCGACATTTTTGGTACATATCATCTTAAACCTCTTGGGGTGGGGGTTGGGTGGGTTGGGGTGGGGCATGTTAACGTTCGCTTGCACTTGCGTCATGAAGTTGATGCTACGTCACGCATTGGGTTGGGGTTGGGTGTGGTGGGGCATGTTAACGTTCGCTTGCACTTGCGTCATGAAGTTGATGCTACGTCACGCATGGGGTTGGGGTTGGGTGGGGTGGGGTGGGCCATGTTAACGTTCGCTTGCACTTGCGTCATGAAGTTGATGCTACGTCACGCATGGGGTTGGGTTGTTGGGTGGGGTGGGGCATGTTAACGTTCGCTTGCACTTGCGTCATGAAGTTGATGCTACGTTACACATGCATGGGGTACGTTACGCATGGCGTTGGGGTTGGGTGGGGTGGGGTGGGGCATGTCAACGTTCGCTTGCACTTGCGTCATGAAGTTGATGCTACGTTACGCATGGCGTTGGGGTTGGGTGGGGTGGGGTGGGGCATGTCAACAGCTGTTGGACCATTCAGAAAGCTGGTGTGCCAGATAAGATAGCTTCAAAGTGTGGATCCAAACCCAATCCCTTGCTGTGGAAGTACATCCGCAGCGCACAATGGCGCTGGGAGATGAACTCTGCAGACCTGCTGGCCAAAACGGGCCTCTACTTGGCAAAGCTGTGAGCTGAAAAAAGGAAAACCGAACTCGGAACGTTTTTGACCACAAAATGCTGGAAGGGTTGACGAAAGCATCTTGCGATGAACTTTTTTAAGAAACTTTTTTGGACCCAGAATGTGCGTTTTGCTAGCACGAGAGCGACGTTTTTGAGAAATCATGGGACGGTGAAAGATCCGTCGGGTTGTTTATGATACTATTGTTGATTGTGAACATGGAAACTAATCGCAGTTTTTTTCAACACTGATACCCCAATTCAAATGGTGCCAAATCCAAAAATAACGTACACATGGGTACACTGTACCCTTCAAATCCAGTTTTTCAGAATGGGGTCATGTGGGCAACCCAATGCCATAAACTCATAAACCTACTATTTGCGGATGGTTTATATCAACCATTTATCTGATTTTGGGGATGGTTTATTGCTGGGTTGATCACATTATCCACCCTCATTTCGAGACAATCGCTGCCGACCGGTTGCTTTTGTCGATGCCCTCTACGATGCTGTGACCACCTGTGGCAATCACTGGATCGAAAACTGGAGATGAAACAAGAAAATTGGGGTTTAACGGTTTAACCATGTTGAACCATTGTTAAACAATTTTTAATATTTCTTTTGGCTTCTTGAATGAACGACCTGGGATAGTTGCAGGAAGCCTACGAATCGACCCGAACCGGAATTCTGGAATCACGAGGAATTGAACCGACAAGGAACCGGTTAGAAACTGAACCGTCAGGAACCGAACCGCAATCAGTCAGCAACCGAATCAGCGAACCGTTTTCCTCGCTCCTATGTCCCCTGGTGCTTGCGTTTCCCCAGCAGGCTAATCCCCTTTTGAAAGAAAAGGCAGAGTGACTTCAACCCCAAAAGGCCTCTGTTGGAACCTGAATGCTGCAAATTTGGGGTTGAACTATGTTGAACCTCTGAAGGCACCACTTGGTGCAAAACCGGCATCTATGAATTGCTTCGCTTACCCCAAAGACGGCTGATCAATGTTAAATAAATATATATATATATACGGTAACTACATTAAAATATATGGGTTTTTAAATATACCAGTAGTACCGCGCAAGGCGGTGGCGGAAGTTTCAAAAATGAAAAACCTATAGGAGAGGTGCGTTGCTGTGGCGCAAAAATGGCAGAGCGAACCCACTGATGGTTGAGTGTTTCTCCCTTTCTGTCTCTCTTTTTCTCTTTCTCTCTGTCTCTCTCTTTCGCCATCTATCTACAGAGTTACCTTTCTAGCCATCTACCTATCTACCTGTCTATTCATGTAGCTATCGTTCGATTTGTTTATGCACCTAACTATTAAACTCTCCATCTGTCTATCCAGCCATGCATCCATCCACTTACTTCTCTCTGTTAGTTTTTTTTCCGTCCATCTCTTCATCCATGTCCACAGGTATCCATCACCATGTTCTTCTCTCGTCTAATCTTTCTCTCCTCTCTGCCTCTGCCCTGCTTTCCTTATTATCTGTCCATATTTGGTGAAGTGTAGTGGAGTGTAATTTAGTGTATTGGAATTTAGTGGGGTGTAGTTGTGTAGTTGTGTGGTTGTAGTTGTAGTTGTGGTCTAGTGGAGTGTAGTCAGTGTAATGTAGTGAAGTATAGTGGGAGGTAGTGTAATGTAGTGTAGTGTAGTGGAATGTAGTGTTCTGTAATGCAGTGTAGTGTAGTGTAGAGAAATTTAGTGTATGTCTGTCTATCTATCTATCTATCCATCTATCCATCTATCCATCTATCTAGCTATCTAGCTATCTAGCTATCTATCTATCTAGCTTAACACGGTAATGTAGTGTAGTGTAGTGTAGTGTAGTGTAGTGTAGTGAAGGCATCTCAACATCCAAAAGTGGTCCGAGCATGGTGTGCTTTGTGCATTTTCACTTGGAAATGTGCTTCGCGCCACAACGGCGTGCACTTTTTCGCAAACTCAACTTCCAAAAGTGGTCCGAGCATGGTGTGTTTTGTACATTTTCACTTCAAAACCTGCTTCGCGCCACAACGGCGTGCACTTTTTCGACATCGCAACTCCAAAAAGTGGTCCGGAGCTGGTGTGTTTTGTACATTTTGACTTGAAAATGTGCTTCGCGCCACAACGGCGTGCACTTTTTCGAAACCCAACTTCCAAAAGTGGTCCGAGACCGTCACTTTTTAACACTTTTGACTTCCAACGGCGTTGACTTTTTCGACAACTCAACTTCCAAAAGTGGTCCGAGCATGGTGTTTTGTACATTTTGACTTGGAAATGTGCTTCGCGCCGCAACGGCGTGCACTGTTTCGACAACTCAACTTCCAAAAGTGGTCCGAGCATGGTGTGTTTTGTACATTTTGACTTGGAAATGTGCTTCGCGCCACAACGGCGTGCACTGAAACTAAAGTCAACTTCCAAAAGTGGTCCGAGCATGGTGTGTTTTGTACATTTTCACTTCAAAATGTGCTTCGCGCCACAACGGCGTGCACTTTTTCGACATCGCAACTCCAAAAAGTGGTCCGGAGCTGGTGTTTTGTACATTTTCACTTTGAAATGTGCTTCGCGCCACAACGGCGTGCACTTTTTCGACATCTCAACTTCCAAAAGTGGTCCGCTCCTGAGGTGTTTTGTGCATTTTGACTTGGAAATGTGCTTCGCGCCACAACGGCGTGCAATTTTTCATCTCTCACTGGCCAGCTGCCTCCGCACCTGCCGCTTTAGCGAGCCTACTTTTCGACCCTCCGGAGCCACAAAACCACGAAAAAACACAGTGAATCGCAACTTTCCTACCTTTTCGCGCACCTGCATCTTCTTTCTTCTGATCTTTTCTCCTCTGACTCTTCTCCCTGCTGACAGCTTTTTCATCTCTCCATATTGTCGGATGTTTGACTTCCAAACTTCCTTCGACGAACAGGTATTTTAGACTACCGCCGGGAAGGTTTTCCTTGGCCCGCCCGGTCATTCAAACATACGGAATCCAATTCATTTAAACGTTACGGTAACTACATTTAAATATACGAACTTGTATTTCATACTACCTCCGGGGCCTCGCGGCCTGGCCTACCGTATATATTTACATCCAATATACTTCACTCCGACAAACGGACTTCAACCCCGAAAAGCCTGTGTTGGAACCTGAATGCTGCAAATTTGGGGTTGAACTATGATGATGCTCATAGAACTTCCCTGTCGATGTATAGTAACTTTTTATAGTTTAAACCTTTATATTGGCGGTTGAATTTAAGCTGATATGAACCATGGGAACCGAAAGCGACCGAACCGAAGTAATGCAAACCGAAGCCGAACCGGATTCTGAATCATTGGCCCTGGTGCGAACCCAACCGAACCTAACGGAACCGAAGGCTTCCTAGACTTGGCTCAACACAATTTTTGACTCAGGCAACACCGTCATAGGGGATTTGACTAATCTAAGTGGTTGACTTACGGGAAATTCTACCGAAGAATCATGGGATCTTTTACCAATCAAATAAACAGAACGGGTTTCAACCTTGTGCGACCTGGACCGTAAATCTTTGGAAAGCCTCGTGCAGAGTGCAGAGGGCGCTTGTTGAACATCCATCAGATGACTTTAGGGACGAAAGGTGTTCCAGATCCCAATGATGCAACAATGATGATCTCTCACCAAAGGAAGTTTAGAAGTCAAACTTCCGACAACATGGACAGATGGAAAAGCAGAGGTGGGAAGAGTCAGAGAGGAGAAGAGCAGAAGAGAGAAGATCAGAGAAGAGAAAGAGTGAGAAGAAAGAAGATGCAGGTGCGCGAAAAGGTAGGAAAGTTGCGAAACACTGTGTTTTTCCAATGATTTGTGGCTCCGGAGGGTCGAAAGGTAGGCTCGCTAAAGCGGCGGGTGCGGAGCCATGTAGTCAGATATGAGAAATGAAAAGTTGCACGCCGTTGTGGCGCGAAGCACGTTTCCAACTCAAAATGTACAAAACACACCAACGTCGGACCACTTTTGGAAATTGAGATGTCGAAAAAGTGCACGCCGTTGTGGTGCGAAGCACATTTCCAAGTTAAAATGTACAAAGCACCAGGGTGTCGGACCGCTTTTGGAAGTTGTGATGTCGAAAAAGTGCACGCCGTTGTGGCGCGAAGCACATTTCCAAGTCAAAAGTGCAAAGAACTGAGGGGTACAAAGCACTTTTGGACGTTTAGATGTCGTTTTGCGTGGCAGGCACAAGGGATTCTGCACCTTGCCAAAAGTGAGCAAAACGTGAGGGTTTTGTAGAAGTTTCAACTACAACCACCACTAGACTACACTACACTCCACTACACTACACTACAACTATAACTACAATTACAACTACAACTACATTACACACACTACACTACACTAATTACATTACACTACACAACACTCCACTCCACCACGCTACGCTACACTACACTACACTACACTACACTAACCACAACTACAACTACAACTACATTACGCTACACTAATTACAATCTTCACTACACAACACTACGCTACACTCAATTACGCTACACTACACTACAACTACAGCTACAACTGCAACTACAACTACATTACACTACACTAATTACAATCTTCACTACCCAACACTACACTACACTCAATTACGCTACGCTACACTACACTACCACTACAGCTACAACTGCAACTACAACTACATTACACTACACGAATTGCATTACACTGTTACACTACACTACACTAAACTACACCACACCACACCGCACCACACCACACTACATTACACCAACTACAACTACAGCTACAGCTACAACTACGCTACTTTACACTACACTACACTAGACCACACTACACTAGACTACACTACACTAACCCTACATTACATTACACTACGCTCATTACACCACCACAAATGCAACTGCAACTACACTACACTAATTACACTACACCACAGCTACAACTCCACTACATTACAACTACAACTACAGCTGCACTACACCACGCTGCATGCAGCAGTTGTGGGTGAGGTGACCGACCAGGTGACCACTGCAGCCATTGCAACCATTCCAAAAAACACGACTTCCATCAGTGGATTCGCTCTGCCATCCGTGATTCACAACAACCAACCTCTCCTATAGGTTTCCTATTTCTGAAACTTCCGCCACCGCCTTGTGCGGTACTACTGGTAATTTTCTATTTATGCTTAATGCACTATATGATAGCATGCATTCACTATTTGGAAGGATGGAAGGATGGAAGGATGGAAGGATGGAAGGATGGAAGGATGGAAGGATGGATGGATGGATGGATGGATGGATGGATGGACCAATGTATCATTCTATCACCTTGAAGTGAAACATCCAGATCTGACCGAAACTTGGCTACCGCTTGACGCGATGACGACAAGTCGCAATAGCTCTCCATGAGGTCGTTCCGATGGTGCGCTTCAGATGAAACACATCTGGCCTGAAATTGTGGTGTGGCTTTTGCTGGACAAATCACAGAAAATGCATGACATATGAGGGATCTCACCTGGAATTTTAGATCAGTGGATGCTCCATGAAGATTCCCACAGATAAAGTTAACCAACCATTAGTGGATCATTACCATTATAAATCACTATTAAACCATTAATAATTATAATCACGATTAACACGATTAAACTATGATTAATCACTATTAATCATTATTATCCAATAATCTTCCGAGTCACTGTGACGTTCAGCTTGCCATGCTCCAGGTTAGCCTTTCGAATCAGCCGGAAACCAGGGACATCTGATAGAAATGCAGGGCTTGGACCTACCGAGGTTTAACAAACTATGGAGACACATGTGGGATTTAGCAAGAAAAAACATGCCTTTTTTTTTTGCTGTTGTTCGTTTGAAAAACATCCGAAGATGGTGGAATTACAGCAGCAAACTTGGATATGATGAAACCAACATGCTGGGAACATGCCGGTTCGATCAAAAGTTGAGACAACGACCTGAGGCAACTTGCCAAACGTTAGCCGACTGTATCATAATATCCCCAATTAGTGGGGATGCTAGCTGAGAATACACTCCAAAATTGGCTTCAGCTGAATCGTTTCGCACTTGGTGGTTAAAAAAGGGGATATGGGGCACCATAACTATGGTTATCTATCCACTTATAAGTGAAACTGCACTTCCAAGCACATCTTGATCAACACTTTATTTTGCCTTCATAGAAAGGATACTATTCGCCGAACATATGTGTTTCCATCTGGTCGTCCAAACCAGACTGTTGGATCTGTGTTGGGATCATTTCCACTACCCCAAATTAAAACATAGGACCATATAGAAACCCCCAAAAATGGCTATATCCAATAGACACATCATGTTCCAAAGCCTATTTTTCGGGGTTCCATAGTTCCATGTTAAATTTAGGGGATGTTTCTAAATAACAAGCATTTCTTAACGTGAACCCGTTGCGGTCAGCTTTCCAAGGTCCAAACTAGCGTCAGGGCGGACACACCGCTCCAAAACAGACCTCACCCGCCGCAGTTGGCTGGACTTTCTCGGGGCTTCCCCAGCAGCGAAACAATTGGGGGCTTCACTGGAACAAAATTGACACGTTTTGAACCATGGGGTGGGGACCCATCAGCCGCTGAGCATTTTGGTGGCCGTTCCAAGGACCCAGAAAGACACCAGCTGACACCACCGTCAAGCGTAGTTCATTGTCCAACTTCAATCCGAAACTTTTCAAAGCTCCCAGCCCATTATCCCATATTATCCCCAGTTTCATGGTTTTTGAAAGCCCATCATTTGGATCGTTTTGCATCACCGGTGATGTTCGGTCATCCAATCAATGGTTTCCCCATGATTCACCATAGTTTAAGCATGTTGAGAGCCCAAATCTACAGCGGTTTTCCTGCACACTTCCCACGTCGGGTCCAGGTGCCTACTACCAGGGCAGCATTCTTCATTGGCTTCGGGCGACTACTTCATGAACTGAAATAGTCTGCGGGCCAGGTCTGAAAATTCCTTTGATTCACAATCAACTGATATTCATCCCATCCCCCCTTCTTTTAACGGCCCAAATCTATAGGGATCATCAACCATTCTTCGCGGCATCTGGCCACTGCACTTTTTTTCCGTCGCGACGGTCAGTGTTCGTCGCGACGCGTCGATGAGATGGTGTCGTCATGCCTTGGGTAAAGGGGTGGGTTGATGAGTTGACCACTCAACTCCTCAGTGTTTGGGGCTGCAAGCTGGGATTTTAAGAATGGTGGTATTTCATCTCTCGCAATAGCATCTGTTTTTTATTGTCAAAGACATGGTCTTCTGCAAGATATTCGCGAGATCATGAATTTCTATAGATTAAGAATCATTTCTGAATAGAAACATCATGAAACATCCATTGGGCATTTTTATACGCACCAAAAATATCAATCCTGGCTGTTTCTAAAAAATGATCACAGGATCATCCCACAGGATCCTTTTACAGGATCCGACCTTAGGTCGCTATGGAACATGGTGAGTTAGTAAACTACCATTAGTTGATGGGGATTATATGGGGATTATATGGGGATTATATGGGGGTTACCCTCTGGTAAACTGTTACACTTTGCGTGCTGGAAAATCACCATGCTATCAATGGGTAAACCAACGAACTAAATGGCCAATACTACGTTAAATTACCAGAGGGCAGTTGATTAGTAGTACCCTCTGGTAATTTAACATAACTATGGAAAATCACCATTTTTCATGGGAAAATCCACTATAAATGGCCATTTTTAATAGCTATGTTAGTTTACCAGAGGGTAAATTATCATTAGTCAATTCATGGTTTCCATTTGGTTTTCCCCGCCATCCACCATTCTTCGACTGGCACCTTGCAGAACTTGCTCTTGCGCGTCACGGCAGCAGCGCGCTCAGCGGCAGTACCGCAGGAGTCTGTGGCGTGGCCCCGTTTAAAACAAATGTAATGTTGGCAAAACTATGATAAACCATCCCCCAAACCACCATAGATAGGTGGTATAAACAATTCCCAAACGGGTAGTTTATTACTATTTTAACCACATTAACTCCATCCCCCATTCAAATCAAACATCTCCCCAACTGGTCCCTTATGAATGTGGTTTCATCCCCCTACTAAATCCATCGTTTGTAGGGGGTTAATATTAAGGCAATTGATGAAATGGCATTCCGGAAAAGCTCAGGTAGGGGACCTGTGCGTCATTGCACAAGTCATCCTGAAACCGTAAAACCTTAAACCCTGAACTTCGACAAACCCTAAACCATCCCCCAAAAATGGAAAATCAAGGAAAAACCATGAAACCTAAGCACACAAACTGGAAAACCCTCATTCTTAAGCCCTAAAACCTTGGAAAGCTAAGTGATTTTGGACGAGCCAGGGTGTCTGCAATGAATTTTCAAGCGACCGAGCATCACCCATCAAAAAACCATGGATTTCTGTGGTGATACACCCATTATACCACCCCATTTTCGTTGACACCCACAAAATCGCCGCGAAAATCGTATAAGTGGATAGTTTTCACCATGATGGGGATTATATGGGGATTATATGGGGATTACATCAATTATATCCCACAAAAATATCCCAATAAAAAAGGGCTTTCCATTGCCGTCGTTTCACCCCTGCATCCTGCCTGTCTTCTTCCAGCACATGCCAGCGATGTTCCAGGTGAAGGCCACCTCCGATGGAGACTTAGCATAGCGATTGTGGTGCTTTTTGTTAGTTGATAACCATATATCACGTCATATATATATAGTATAATATATAGTATAGTATAGTATAAAATAAAATAATGTAATGCAATGTAATATGATATGATATGATATAAAATAAATAAAATAACATGAAATATAATTAATATGATGTTATATTACAATATTGGTGGTGTTGGTGTTGTAGAACAGGGACATCCCAGTACATGCTGGAAAGACCATGGGGAGAAGAAACTTTCACTGTGTCAGGGATGCTGACCATGAACAAAAACCACTTGGTTAACCATATTACTTAGCCATCTATGACATGTAAATATATTAGTTGACAATGGTTCTCAACCATGTTTTGGTTAGCCATAGAACACATAAGTAACCACGTTATCAACAATCTGTATATGTATATATATATACATATGTCGTCTGCATGGGGTATAACGGAACATATTCTTATTTGATAACCATTAATATTGTGACGGAACATATCACACATACGTGGATGTTTATAACTTTTTTTGGGAGGGGAGATGATGGGGGAATCATGGCTCTATAACCAACAATATTGGGTATCTAACCATGTGCAATCAACACCATGGAAACCGGAATTCTCCAGAATGGCGACTTGGAATGCCTCAATGTTTCAGAAAAAGCTCTACAATCCGCAATTGAATATGAAGTCACTGGATATAAATAGAGGTCTTTTGAATGTTTTTGTCACGTTTTTTGTCCATTGCCAGTCGATTTTCAAAAGATGGGACTTCAACGACCATTTTTCACATGGGATCTGATCCTGCCCAACACTTCTTTCCATCGTTTTTTTCCGAAACTTTCCGTTCAACAGCTCCCATCATTTTTTGGTGCTCAAAGAGCACTATAAAATCCTGGTTTTTCCCAAAACAGTGATCGTTCAAATGGGACCTGACTCGGATTGTCGAAGCTAAAGAGGCAGGTGGAAGAGCAGCTGGAAAACCTCGACCGAGTTTGGACTTTGGGAAAAGTTCCCAACGGCCTCAAAATATACTGGCAAATAGTGAATCTGATACATGTGTATATATATATATATATCAATGAGAATAGCAATAACATGTAATAACAATAATCAGATCATATTTTCTGACGTTTTTTTTTCCGACTTGGCTGTCCATTGCGGCTTTTGATTTTCAGTCTTCGGCCATGTTGGTGGCACCGTACAAGGTTGTCTGCATCACTGTGCTTCCCTGCATCTTGTTGGCCAATGCCATGTGCACCTGAGAATGGTGACATGTTCGGATGTGAATAAGTACATCCTGTAATTGATTTGTGAAGTATGCGAGTAGCCCATGGTGATTTTCCAGAGGGTATATAGTTTTTACTCTTTATGTCTTTCTACTTGCAGCCGGGAGCATGTTTATCCACACGCGAACGAAATACTACCAAGAAAAAACGGCAAAGAAACACCACATGGCTATGGGCCAAAATCCTAGTAAACGGGAAAATTGTGACGTTCATCGCCTCCAAAGATATGAACACTTAGCGATTTCAAGCCATTCCCATAGCAGTCAATCATCATTTTCCAAAGTAATATAGCCATAGTTCGGGGGCCAATACATCATTTTCAGACAGTCAAATACTTGGTGAATCCCATTAATCATCAGTTAGCCATTTACCCATTGCAATCTCCCTGTTGATGGTTACAGTAAATCCCACAAACATCCCCATTATATCCGTCAAACCCCTACAGAAACAGTATCCGGATAGAATAAGATCTAGTGTAGCTACAATATCCATTTTTTCCCTGTTCTGGCCATCATTTCACCACTCCCCACCTCGTTACTCTGTGCGCTATCGCAGGTCTTCGCATGTGGGCTGTGATCCACCGTTGTGCTTTCGCCTGAGCGGCGAACTTGGCACAAAAAAACACATCTGTCACATCCAGCGACTTGAAACATCACTCTCCTGGGAAGTAAATCCATCATGTCTCCATTGAATTTGCATTTTTTGAGATGATTTCCTCATTTTCAGACACAGCCATTCTTTGTTCACAACAGTCATTGTACGACAGCACAACGGACGTTTTCATCCAACACTTGGGAACATCTGTCCATGATGCCAATGGGTGTGTATGGGTCAAAACCCCGGTACGAGGGTACCCCAAGTCATAGCTGATTCATAGATGGTTATTCCCCCAAATAGTTTTAATAAATCATATTTTGGGGAATATCCATCCATTAATCAGCTATGATCGTTTTATCATAGTTTAATAAAGATGGTTAATCATAGTTTTCCCTAGCTGTTGACGATGTTACGGTGATCTTTGCAAGCTTGGGAATCGGCAAAGTCCGGCCTGTTTTTGCGCCCAAGTTTCTGATATCACAGTGTGGTCTCCTGAACTGGGCAAATTATAGTATTTCACTAACCTGAATTAAGCCCATTTGGGGATGATTTCCCTTACTAACTATGATTTCCAGTGAGGGAGAACAGTGAGGTCGTTATAATTTACCCAGAAATATGTTCGTTCACCTCCAATTGATTTCCAATTCCACTTTAAACATCACCTCTTTTGGTTGATCAAGCATCATTCACCGCAAAAGAAAGCGACATTTTCAACAGCAAATTCATTGAAGTCAAACTTATCATTTGGTTGGAAAACTCTAGCTCCAACTGGCCATGCAAAATAGGGAATATGAATATCCCTTAGGCCCTAGCTTCGAACCGCTCCCTCCTCATTGGATACCCTCGGCTACACTAGCAGCTATGGAAAATCACCATTTTCAATAACTAATCCATCTATAAATGGCCATTTTCAATAGCTAAGTTGATTTTTTTCGGGTAAATCGTTCTCCCATTCTTCTCCCATTAAAGCCCCATTTCCCATTATTATCCCATTGTTATCCCCATTGCTTTTTTTCTAAGTTTACCGAGGTCCGTCCATCCCCAGTGGCAATAGCTGGACATCAAGGTGTCGGAGAGGAGGCTCTGCACCGGGATGCACAAGTCTGCCTGGAGAAGAAGTGATCGAAGTGATCATCATCATAATGAGTGTTGGTCAATCATTAAAACTGATGATCGAAGTCATCATAACTGATGATCAGTCTTAGATGATTAACTATAGATATATCACCAACAAAAATCATAGTTATTCTGGTTGGTGGTTGACCTACCCCTCTGAAAAATGATGGAGTGAAAGTCAGTTGGGATGATGACATTCCCAACTGAATGGAAAAATAAAACAGGTTCCAAACCACCAACCAGTCATCATAATTGTACTCAATGGGTGTTAGTCAATGATCGGTGTTAGACATCCCTTCGTCAATGAGTCTTCAATGGGTGCCAATGGCTTTTTGGGGACACCATCGAACATATGGGGATAGCCATGGATAACCATAATTCGTTAGCCATAAATTATGGCGAGTTTTTTTTGTGGATGGTCTCCAACATCCCCATTCTTGGTAGGTTGGCCCCCAATGTTGCTGTTTTTTTTTTTTTTTCCGGGAAGTGGATATTATTATATCTTTGGTGGTTGCACTATCTGGTTGTACATAACATTAACATACCATAACATACCCATAGAATATATATATATATACAGTATATACACATGTACACAACCGATTTTTGGATTAAACCGCCAACTGATCTGGTGGTAGATAACCATATGTAATATGTAGCCATATCCAACCATATGTAACTCCATATAGGATATACCCTCCGGTTATTTAACAGTTTGCTATGGAAGCCATGGCCCATAAGACCAATAGAAATAGATAATAAACATGATGATTTACCTGTTATTCTTATCGTGATTTTCCATATGTTAGATCACCAGAGAGTAACACACATATAATACATCAATTTACATCATATATCAAACACATATATAATTCCATATGACCACATATAACTCATATAACCATACATATATGATATAAGTCATGATATTGAACCAATCTCAACAGCTGGAGATGACCTTTTAAACCCGCCTCGCAGAAGGTGGCCTTTCGTTCCAGCGACAGCTTCTGCTCTGCGTGCCCGATGCAACCGCCTGGTGGAGCCCGTTTTCGATAACGATCATAGTGGTGACATAATACCAAGATATGGAAAAATAATCCAAATGTTCCAAACATTGGATACAAACACTGGATACAAGCTGGTGCCCCAGTTATAAATTGGTTATAAGCCCATTAACTATAGATATATCACCAACAAAAACCATAGTTATTCTGGTTGGTGGTTGACCTACCCCTCTAAAAAATATGAATGAAAGACAATGGGAAGGATTATCCCATATATGAGATGGAAAATAAATTTCATGTTCCAAACCACCAACTAGTATACATCGTTTTACCAATGTGAATTACTGAGTGTTGATTAACTTTTTGTTGACTTGCTGAGGAAGATACTGACAGTTATTCACTAAGACATTACCATTCACTAAGCTTTGCTCAAATGTTGGGTCAATCGGATGGTTAATTCAAAATCCGCTTTGGAGCCATTGCAGGTCACATTCATGTCCCCATTTTTAGCGATCACAAGATGGTTGGAATCTCCAGGCTATTCATGAAGAACACAGAACATTACGGATCACTTCCCATGTCGAGTTTTTCATCACTACTTGAAGCTTCCCATTTTTCATGGGTCAATGGTAGGTCAAAATCTCCGGAGGAACTCATGAAACACCTTTTTTTCTGATTAAATCAGTAAGAGAACAGAGAGAACAGGTCGTCAATTTTCACTGCTGTGTACTGTTCCTAGATCTGGAAACTCCACCATAAATGGATGATTTACTGCGGAGACCATTGGTTTTCCCACATGTTACTTTAGCCCAGGGTATTCTCCTCATGGGGCTCCCCACTTCCACGTTGCCAGCAGGAGGTCTCGCTGTTCCAGTGGTAAGCCACAGTGTCCTGCAAAAGGTGGAAAAAAAATGTTGAAACCTCCAACCACTCAACGAAAAACACCAAGTTTTTGGGTTCCAGTGAAAATACCCCTCAGTCCGGTTGATCGTAGTCGTAGAGACACCAGGCACCACAGTGGCTGAACCTGTCACAGTTGGGGGAAGTTGGAGATTGCTGGTGAAATCCAACTTTTTAGGTGGGTAAATCTGCAGTTTTGTGGGTAAATCCACATTTTTCGTCATGATTTTCCCCTGTTTGGTGGGTTGGACTCGAATTTCTGCTCCATGTCCAGTGGCCCTCCGGTCAAATTGCCAGGGTCGCATCTTGTTGGCCAGAGAGCGGCGGACGTAGGGCGTGTAGCCTCAAACCCGCTTAACTGGGCAGTTGCCTGAAAAATAGGAAACGGTCATGATCATCATCCCATTTCTATGGTTTAAAATAACATGTCTTTGAAACCACCGTTATGGCATGTTATGGTCCTCAAAATTTGATGGTTGATCATTCTCTTCCGTTTCAAATGGCAATTCTATGGGACTTCCATTTTCGGACACAGCCAAGTATCATGTTTGTTGATTATGTATCCAACCAAATACGGACTCACTGGTATTGTCATTTTCCATCCAATTGGCTTCGCGGGCCCATCCCCCATTTTCAGACATACCCGAGTAACTGTTACTGGTTAATTAAAACCCATTTTCCAGATGTAAATGCACCATTTCTGCGCAAACCCATCATCACTTCATGGTTTTTTCCCGTCAATCCATATTCAAAGCCCATTTCAAATCGTACTTCCCAGTATGAAGGGATTTGACCAAGTATTGGATGATCATGTGATCCACTATACACCTTCAGTATAAGCCACAATCTAATTATACCCATTGAATGGGTCATATATGACCACATACAATGGGTATACCCACATTATAATTGATCTAATTGATCCATTTATACTCATTCAATGGATCCCGTTAAACAAATCGTGAGTTATTACCGATTAGATATCCATTAAATGGATCATATACAACAGATTGGCTGGTTTTGGGGGCAAAATCCAGCATTTTTTCACACTGAGGCAGCCACTGGCATGGCAACCTTTGGCCTTGGGGCTGCGATCCTCGCCATTGGTCGACAGCTTCTCGCCTTGGGGCTGAGTTTATCCACTCTGGAGTTGATTAGGGGGATAGAACTGGCTATAGGCTATTAGGCTTACAGTAATAGGGTTGTAAAATGTTGGTTTACAACCAACTTATAACTTGGGGGCCCCACACTTTCTGGGACAACTCAGGAGAAACCGCAAAAAGTATCTATGAAATCCTCAGCAATTTTTTGTTTGCCACAGAACTGTGTTTTTTTCTTCTCATTCCCATCGCAAAGATAGCCACGGTTGTGTGGGCCATAGAGCCATGGTTGGTCACCACCAAGTGGCAATAGCGGTAGATCACTGCCTCACTCAACTTTGGTGCAACTGGCGTGCACATCTTCTCAGCCTGGCATTTTAAATGGGCAAAGTCATTACCCTCTGGTAAACTAACATAACTATAGAAAATCACCATTTTCAATAGCTATATTAAATTACCAGAGGGTAATGGGGAATTGTCCATTGCCATTTTGACAAGAGGATAGAGTAAAAACTGGGTTGGAAGCAACTCGGAGCTCGGATACAACTTCATGATTCTCTCACACAACTGGCCCCCCAAGTCTTGTTGATTTTTGACCGAACAGCTCATTGTAAAAACTTGGGCTTCAAGTTCAGCCAAAGTCAGATGTGCCAACAAACCCAGTACTCTGCGACTGTGGGCTCTGCCCCCCAAGTAGCACCAGTTGATTGTCAATATCCTTCTATTGATTTGTGGCTTCATAACACATTCCATCCAACTCATTTCCTGCCTAGGAATATCCCCGAACATCATTCAAATTCTTGATCTATGACTATATCCCCAATTGAAATGCTCAAAACATCATATCTCATGATATATATATATATTTCTGGGTAAATTACAATATTTCACTAACTTGAAGAGTTGGGCCATTTGGGGATGATTTCCCTTACTAACCATGATTCCAGGGTTCGGGAGAACAGTGTTCGGTCGTTATAATTCACCCAGATATTTCTCATGACATTCCCATGACATACCCTCTGGTAAACGTTTACATCAGTATGGAAAATCACCTTATTTTTCATGGGAAAACTCACTATTTCTATGGCCAACCGTTCCATAGCTTTTGGATGTTTACCAGGCCGGGTATCTCCATCAAATCCACCGCCAACACTTCAGACCTCGCAAAGGACATCTTTGTAGCTCGTCACCAGGGCTTGTTCCTTGTGCCCCTGACAGTCGCCTGGAAAAACCACGGATCGATGGGAAGGGAATGACGGTGATGAAGTTGAGAGTTGAGATATGTTGAGATATGTTGATATCATTGTCATATGGATTTAAGATAAAGCCCCACATTGGAGTGAATCACGTGGAAAATGCATGTGGGGAACATGCTTTGGAATCTTTCCAGGGTCTCACATAAGCTTCTCTGGCAACAAACTGAGCATCACCAAGAGCAACAAGAAACCTGCCAATTGTGCAGCAACTTAGCCCAGCGTAGCCCCCACTGGGCGCTCAACTTCCATATTCGAAGCACTTCTTGTGGTTGTTCCAATGCTGGGCGGCACAAAGGCGCAAGTGAACATCCCCCAGAAAGCATGGATTTTTCTAGGTGATTTACAGCTATAATCACCTCTGTTTGGGACCATGCAATGGAATTGTTTTTTCAGAGGGACCAGATTATGCCTGAACTGTCCTGAATTGCCAAGATCTTTTTACTCAGCAAACTGTGCGACTGTCCATGCTTCACCGGCCGAGATACATAGGAGATCTTGTCAGGGGACTCCCAATCGTAGAGGCACCAGGCATCACAATGTTCATACCTCACAATGTATCTCTGGATGATATCACAGTTTCTGTTTCTACTTTCACAAATGGTACAGTAAATCGTTTTCCTTCAGCAGTTCCTCTCCTTCGGCATCAGTTGAGCATTTTTGCTGCTTCACTCCTTATCCTATCTTTTGGGGCAAAATAACATTTTGTTCCGGAGAATCTTCAGTAAACAAGACTTTATCTCTTCATCAACACATATAAAGTCCACATTCTGTTGGTGAACTCCCTTCTTCAATGAGTTAAATGCCAAATCCCGTATTTTTGTTGAGCAAATCCACAGATTCTTCACAAAAACACGGCTACAATCCCCCATCATTGGGAAAACCGTTCATGTTTCGATAATCCCAACGGGCAAGGCCCAAGTTTGGCATCCCAATGATCCCTTGATCGAAAACCGGATTTTTTGGTTGTTCCCCAGTTTTTCGTTGGTCAAATGGATGTTTTTAGTGGATGCAAAATGGATGTTTTCCCGGGTGAAATTCCTCCCCATTTCGTCCAATTCCTCTCGTCGGGTCACATGCCGTTGGCCAACGCGCGGTGCACAAAGCCATCGCTGCCGCCATCGCAGCTCTTGGCGCTCACCGAACGGTCCACGAAGTTGGTAGTCGTCACTTCTGGGTGCTGGGGGTATGGGAATGTTGGGAATATACAATGATAACTGATATCACTGGATGGAAAAGGTATGGATGGATAATATAGGAATAATGTGGAATATCATTGGAATATGGTATATGTATGTATGTATATATATATATATATTCATGGGGGGTATCATTGGATCAGCATCATATACAATGATACCATATAATGGGTATAGCATATATGACATCATATGGAAAACAATGGAAACATTAATATCCCTATTGGATAAACCATCCATGGTTTTTCCATAAGGATGAACATTTTTTTTTCACCAGATCCCAGTATATCGCAGTGTAGCCCACTTCGCAGACCATCTCACTGGTTTGGAACTGGAGATAAAATTTCATACAGCATACAATGCGGGCAAACCTAATCTTCAGAAATCTATTCAGTAATCTATCAATCAATCAATCAATCTATCTATCTATCTATCTATCGACCTATCGATCTATCTATCAAACTATCTATCCATTGAAGCAAGAACATAAAACACCTTCACCCAGAGTAATGGCAACACAACGGCAGAACATATGGATGTATATGGATAGAAGCGCACCACTATTGGAGCACACATAATTTTTGAACAAGGGGAGGATCGCCGGCATTGCATCTCGAAATTCAGGGGCTGGTTCTGACGGTTCCATGGTGGTTCGTGCCCAGATGGGGTCAGGTCACCTTCCCCCCGAAACCATCTGGTTGGTGGTATACCTACCCCTCTGAAAAATATGAGTCAGTTGGGATGATGACATTCCCAAGTGAATGGAAAAAAAAAACACGTTCCAAACCACCAACCAGATAATATATCTATATATATATATCTATATATATATAATATATATATACATATAGTATAATATACAATATAACAAGCATTGCCCCAGATCCTATGACCAGAGGCTGTCCGATTGGTTCAGTTGTGGATTGGATCATTCCCCCAAAACCATGGGTTTTTCTTGGGGAATTCATGACCGAGACAGGATGGGCTGTGCTATGAATCCAAGCTTAAGGTAGCTGCCGCTACATGGGTCAAAGCTCAAGCTTTGTGTCCCCTTCAAAATGTTGCGTAAATCCCCATTCATCCATTTACCAGAGATATATCCACCAGAATCCCTGGACATATCCACCGGAATCCCTAGTTTTCTTGTGGTTTCTCTTCGAAATTTTCAAATCGCTGGCCACATCCGAACCAAGAACCGAGGTGCTGCAGTAGCCGCGGGTGACTTCATCTTTCAAGATGGCCACTTGTGGTCGGCACGTCTCGGTTCAGATGACACTTTGGCACCCAAAATCGCTGGTTCCCCCAACAAAAACAACCAGCCTGTGAAAACCTATAAAACCATATGGGGATGGGTCAAAACCTATGATTACCATTTTTGGAGGCATAACCATCCATTAACCAGCTTTTTTTTGGTACCAAGGGTATCAGAGTTTTGACCCATAACCAGATAAAACCTCTGATTTCCAGTCTGGGGAGATTTTGTTCATCCAACACCCACCAACCTTTGAAACTCCGAGTGCCAAAAAGGTTCCATTTCGACTCACGAGATTTGAATAGCTCCAGCGGGGATGAAATCTGCGAGCTGTTGTCAGTGGGATAGTCCCCTAATTCCCCCATCATTTGATGCCCTGATGGGGTTGCCCCATGGCAATCTCTGGTTTTGTTCATCATTTTTCCATAGAAAAACAGCTCATCCCTAGATGACCAGGTCACAAGGGCCAAGCAACCGTGGTTGTGGTGGTGGTGCTGGTGGTGGTGGTCGACTGTGCGGGCACTGGTGGTTGATCAATGTGAATAAGTGGACTCAGTGGACCTATAACTATCGTAACTATCCTGGGACATAATGCGAAATTCTGCCCACTTTGGAGTTGCGAATCCTGACCATTGAATGCATTGGAGCTGTGCTGGGCTTTTTTCTATTTCAGGGTGCTCACGCTAGTCCGCTAGTCGGGAGCCATTCAGACATTAAAGGAAAGGGTCTATCAGGTCGACCCCAGGCATCTCCGAAATCCCCCCTGGCCGTTCCCCAGCCCTTTCTTCTCAACATTGACCCCCCAAAACAAAGCGATGATTATCCTCTAACATGTCAGTTCAACGGATACAGTTGGCTAAATCATTTCCAGCATAGCAATTCCCAAGAAGATTCAGGACAGTTAACCCAATCCTAAAATAGAAAGGCACATTGAACCTTTGCTGAGTTCAGGGGGTTACTATCATCGTTATGTCCATATACCACCATATACCACCATACTTGGCTGGTCAATCCTCATCAATCTCTCTTTTTTGACGGTTAGCATCCACCATCTTTGTTGGTGAACTGGATGTAACCAGCTTGAAAATCACAGTCGAGCGATGCGCTGCCGCCCCCAGGACGCACCGTGATGGTACTGGTGGTCGTGGTGGTACTGGTAGTCTGAGGTGCGGAGGGAAAATCAGCCGGGTATAAGACTTACTGGTGCTAAACGTAGGGAATACAATGATTGTTACTTGTTACCCTCTGGAAAATGGTGAGTTAGTAAACTACCATAAGTGGATAGATTTCACCATGATGGGGATTACATGGGGATTACCCTCTGGTAAACTAACGGTTTGCGTGGAAAATCACCATCTTTGACTTCGGTCAATCAACGAAGTGTCGAACTTTCGGCCAGTTCGCAAACGGTTTTCGTCATTACCAGAGAGGTAACAATCTATAATAGTCAATATATATATATATATGGTTTAAATATGGATTATAATGGTGTATATATAGTTTATAATGGTGTATATATATACATATACCTGGTTGGTGGTATACCTACCCCTCTGAAAAATATGAGTCAGTTGGGATGATGACATTCCCAAGTGAATGGAAAAAAAATCACGTTCCAAACCACCAACCAGATAATATATATATATATACATAACATATATATATATATAACATATATATATATATATAACAAGCATTGCCCCAGATCCCATGACCAGAGGCTGTCCGATTGGTTCAGTTGTGGATTGGATCATTCCCCGAAACCATGTAGGATCATCGATTGGAAAAATGGTGGCTTCCAGGTAGTTTTTTCCCCCAACAACCCATCCAATATGGATTGGATTTTGAAAATAAGCTGTCCCCTGAATCCCCACCGTCGATTGGATCATTTTCCCAGTCGAATTGGCTATTTGTTTTTTTCGGCATACCCTCTGGTGTAACTGTTACACTTTGCGTGCTGGAAAATCACCGTGCTATCAATGGGTCAACCATCAATTCATGGTGTTTGATGATGTGAAATCTTCTATGTTAGTTTACTGAAGGGTACCCAACATTACCCAACAACATAGAAGATTTGACACTTCACATCATTTCACCATGATTGACCTCAGGGTACGAGCTCCAACCCCCAACAACCCATGAGCCCAGCAGCTGTCGTTGTGGTGATGGTTGTCGTGCTAGTCGTGGTGGACGTGGTGGTTGTAGACTGGGCATCAACAAAAATGGATAAAAATGGGAGATAAACATGGGGATTTACCAACCAAGTCTGGTGGTAGAATGGTGGTTTAAACGGAATAGTAACCTTCTGAATCTGTCAGTTTACCATGGTATTTCTCTTGTCTTCGCTGGTTTCAACAAAGCTGGTGAGTTTCCAGAACGACTGCCATGGATCCCACGGCTTGTCAACAGCTTCCCCTGGAAGGGTCTGGAAGATGACTAAAAAACCAATTGGCGATGGGGTCTATGATTAGCTGATTAGCCTATGATAATTGCCAGGTCTATGATCAATATTCCCAAGATCATTATTGGTCTATTAACCTATCAATCGGTCTATTAATATTATATTACCCATGGTCATTCAACACCCCATGCTTTGCCAACAATTTCCCACAGTTTGATAGCTCTCCAAGGTGCTGTAAAGGTAGTGGTGGTTGTCGTGCTGGTGGATGTGGTGGTGGTGCTGGTGCTTGTACTGGTCACCTGCGGTCAAACATCCAAAATCAACTGTCAGGGCGTAACATCAATGGCTTTTAAATAGGTTCATCAAGCATTGAAACTTTGAAATCCAGTTGAAGTCTCTTGGATCTTTTTCTATGGGATTTGGTATCTAAATAGGTCCAGATGATTGGATTAAGTCTATTTCTACATGGATTTATACATTCGACCTAAATGAAATGATTTTGCATAGGTGAAAAAAACATTCCAGAATAAATCCTCAGAATTGTGGTTGCTATTGGATTTGGTTAAATCTAAATAGATCCAGATGATCCAAATTAGGTAAAATCTTCAGGAGACATCACAATGGGCTGCAGGCATCTGGGTAAACTGTCATATTTCATTAACCTGAATTAAGGCCACTGATCTTCTCTTTGGCCGGCCCCCTACCTGAAGTAAGGCCAAAAAAAGAGGTTTCCCAAAATGGGGTAGCCCGAAATCATCCCTTGAACATTTTCACATTTTCCGTGAAATCAACCACCCAGATATTTTTCGGGGATCCCCCATATCGCTATGGTTTCCCAACCATTTCATGGGATGATTCCCCACATATCAACTATGATGTTCCCTATATTTTCCATGGTTTTCCACATATTTTCCATGGTTTTCCATATCTTTTCCATGGTTTTCCACATATTTTCCATGGTTTTCCATAGATTTTCCATGGGTTTTCCATATCTTTTCCATAGATTTTCGATGGTTTTCCATATCTTTTCCATGGTTTTCCATATCTTTTCCATGGTTTTCCATAGATTTTCCATGGGTTTTCCATATCTTTTCCATGGTTTTCCATAGATTTTCCATGGTTTTCCATAGATTTTCCATAGATTTTCCCCACATATCAACCATGATTTTCGGCCCCGAATTTTTTCATCCCGCACCGTGGAGGTGGTTGTAGTGGTGGTCGTGGTGGAGGTCACTGTGCTGGTGGACGTGGTGGTAGTGGACTCAGCAAACATCGAATCTGGTGGAGGAACTGAAGGGTTTACCCTCAGGTAAACATACAAAAAACTATGGAAAATCACCTTATTTTAAATGGGAAAACTCACTATTTCGACTGGGCCATTTTCAATAGCTATATATGTATGACATAACCAGAGGGTAATCCACATGGAGGATAAAATCTCCATGGATAACATGGATATTCTAATGGATATTCTCATCATTCTAATCTGGTGGAAGCTGTGGGAAAACACACCGCTAGGGATTTTTTGGAAAGACTTCCTTCGATAGATTCAGTTCGCCAAGGATCAAAGAATTGGATCACTATATAACTGGAATTAAGTTGATCCAATCAGTCAAATACTAATTGGTGGTATACCTACCCACCTGAAAAATCTGAGTTCGTGAGATTGGAGAAAATCATCCCAACTATTGGGGAAAATAATCCAGCCATGTTCCAAACCACCAACCAGAATATGTGATAAACATCAAATAGGTTGACCGTGTCAATCAATTGGCTTCAACAAATTTTCATGTTGATCCAATGGATGAATACCTTGTTTCATGAAGCCCAATAATTGGCCTCAGAATTCCCGCGTGATTATATGGAGGTTTCCTAAACTGGAGCTACCCCAAAATGGATGGTTTATTTCATGGACAATCCTACCAACATGGATGATTTGGAAATACCCCTATTTTAGGACACCACCATATTTATATGTACACATAAACCCAATTAGTTGATCCCCAAAAAGACCCCACATTCAACCTGCGGTGAAGCCAACACCATGTTTTCCCCAATTTTTCATGCGAGATGATCATGAATCCTTTGATGGTTAGCTGGGATCGTTCTTGGCACTGGGTCTACCACATCAGACTGTTTGATCAATTTTGAGTTCACATACCTATCATATGTTGTCATATATTGCAGTTCTAGACCTATTTGCATCATGGCCAGGGTTGTGTTATGAGGTGAAAATGTGGGATGTTTCCACATGTCAAACTGCTGTGAACGACCATCTTGACTGGAGGAAATAAACATAACTCGGATTCGCTTTCACTTGTTTTGGATGATATACATTTACATAACCAAACAAATGCTTCGGAATTGTTGAGAATTGCTCATCATTGGTTGGATTGCCGGAGGTACATCCCGATTCTTACCATATCTTCATGACAAAAACCCAAATGTCATAGATGTTGAATGTCCGTTCCAAATGGAAACCAATTATCATTGAGTTGACAAAGGTGAATTTCCCTGTCGCTGGCATCAACATTTGACCTCAAATCTTTCAGGCCTCAAATGTTTCAGAGACATCTATAGTTTCTGCTTTCCCAAGACTTTTGGACATGGCAACCACTTTCGGTGTCCGGACTGTGGTGGTTGTGGTGCTGGTGGTGGTTGTGGATGTGGTGGTCACGGTGGTGGTGGTGAAGGTGGACTGCGGCGACCCCCAACAGATATGGATATACATGGATATACATGGATGATAAGAAATGGGATACCCCCCATGACTTAGGACACCTCCCAAAAAATGATATATATATATATATCTATATTATATATATATATACATATATGGGATACCCCCCATGATGTCATGGAAACCTCCAAAATATTGACGATCTATCGATATCGAGTTGGGATCATACGATCGTCATCGTTTGCATCATTCATATGCTGGTGTACAAAGGGGTATAAAAAATGTAAAAAAACATCCATGAGTAGCATGAAGAAAACCAACATTACTTCAATTTGAGATTGTGTGCTCACCAGCTCGTTTCTTTGATCAACTGCATGAGCGAGAGCTGCCGCAAACACTTTTCGCCGAACAAAAGGCATGGTGTTACATCACGTGAAAGTGGCATAGCAAACAACAGGAAAATTTGCAGGGACAGAAACAAGACCGACCAGCGCGAGTGGTTACATAGCCTTACCAGTCATCAACCAGGCCCTCTGTTGTAACAGGCATGAAATACTGCGTGGTTGATGATTCGCAGCCACCCAAGGGACGCCATCTTCTAATGGTGCTGGATCAAGGGTTCCCATTTTTTTCCACTGAAAAACACTGTGAAAAATTGGGGTTATTAAGCATGACAATAAGTTGGACAGTACCAAAAATAAGTTTGACAATATTGATTCACCATTACGGATAACCATTATCCATGTCCAATTGATTAACCAAAACAATAGTCCCAATAAGTTGGGATATGGGCCCCCTATATCAAACTTATCGATAAGCAACAATCAAGAAACCACGTTTGATATCCCAGGTTGGTCTCACATGTGGCACATTTTAGCACATACCCTCTGGTAATGACTAACAGTTTGCTATACATGGCCATAGAAATAGTTGAGCCTATTCAAAAATGGTGATTTAACGGTGATTTTCCATAGTTTGTATGTTTACCAGAGGCTACTGCCCAAGTTCACCGGAATTGCCCCGCCGTGGAGGTTGTGGTGGTGGTGGTCGAAGTCACAGTGGTGGTCACCGTGGTGGTGGTGCTGGTGGTCTGGGCCGAGCCATGGATTTTTGGGGCCACCAGTTGGAAGATCCACGGAATATTTTTCTGGAATATCCATAGTATATCCATAGTTTTAGTTTGTTTTCATGGTAGTTGATATCAACAAGTCTAAAATGGCGCTTGGATTGGTCAAAGAATTTGGGAATCCAAGCATTTTTTGAGAATCCAGTGAATAATCTTTGGACAAATCCTGAACTTCAAATCGGTCAAGAATAGTCAGATGGCTATGGATCGCCTCAGGGCCCTTCTCACACGCTACGAGCAGTGTTGACCTCCTGACGGCTGATCTCCGAGATCCGGACGGTGGAGGTTGTGGTGGTGGTTGTGGATGTCACCGTACTGGTGGTGGTCGTGGTTGTGCTTGTAGTCTGCGAGATGGATGAGGCCCGGCCCGGTTTGTCTGTATTTTCCATAAAAAAAGCGACCAATGTTCCACATTTTGTGGGTCAAACTGGAGTTTCCCATGGCGATTGCTTGAGTTTCCACTATTAGCAAACGAGGTTGGCGAACCAGCGGCTGATCCTAGGGAGTTCCCCTAAGGGCACCTGACCTCTTGGGGAAACCAACAGGAGATCCAGGATTCCAGGGATACAACGATGGTTTCTACGGAGAGGCACCGTAGAACCAGGATTAAAGACATAGCTGAGTAAACTCTGGGAAAATTCGATGAACTTTGATGCCAACATTGATGCGGACCTTCGCATATTTGCTGCCTTTATTCCTTGCCCCGAAGGATCCCCAGCTTTGTTTGGTGAGATTCCGGTTTGTTGGTCAAATCCTTCATCTTTCGCTCGTCAAAACCAGCATTTCCATCATTTGAATTGCCAACAATTTCGGGCAAACAATGGGTATGGGTCAAGTCGTCAAGTCATTGGGTACCCCAATCATCGGATGGTTAATCTTAAACATAGACTAGTCAATCTGTGGTACCCCAAGTCTTAATTATACTTTTGGGTTAGTAGATATTTCCAATACGGGTTGTAATCATCCCCATTGGAGGTTAAAAATGATGACTGGGGATGGGTTCTAATCATCCCCATTAGACCAGGTAGTATTATCCACTGTAATCTAATTCCTGTAATAGCAATCCCATTCTATTAATTATCTTATATCGTAATAATGACCAATAGTTATAACCAATAGTTATACCAGTCATACTATAAATATACTATATTTTAATAATACCATGTAATAACCAACGATATCTATGGCATCTATGGCTCATGTCCCATGCCGCACCGTGGTGGTGATGGTGGTCGTGGTGATCGTGGAGGTGGTGGTGAAGGTCGTGGTCGTGGTGGTGGACTCGGCGTAGCTGCCAAAAACCATGGTGAAGCGGTGTCATGTTCCAACAAATAGATGCTAAATATATGATATATATATACATATATATATACATATATATATATACATATATATATATATACATATATATGATATATGACATATGTGAAATATATGGTGTGAAAGGATGTTAAAGGTCAGTTCGGTGTTTCCAACCACGATCGGTGTGTGAAACACACCGAGAAAGCACACAGAATCAGGGGCTTGATCGATTCCATGCGGGCAAAATTGGGATCTTTTTTCCTTTTACTCAACACCTACGAGTTGGGATATAACCCCAAAACTATGATGACATTTATCCACCTTCACTGGAAACCCATCTCACCGCTGGATGTTCGGAGGTTTCCAATCATGGTATCTGTAGTATCCCACATCCACGTCACTCCACCATGGGTCGCATTGAAACCGTGACGACTGGGATTCCACACAGTGATGGTGCTGGTGGTACTGGTAGATGTGGTCGATGTACTGGTCGATGTGGTCGTTGAGGTCGTGGTGGTGTACTGCAGCTGGGGAGATGTTCACCACAGGGGATATTACCCTCTGGTCATTTAACAGTTTGCTATTGAACATGGCCATAGAAATAGTGGATTTTCCAATTAAAAATGGTGATTTTCCATAGTTTTTTGTATGTTTACCAGAGGGTACCAGCTAAAAAAGCGAGGATTTCGGCAGCGATGGTAGCACTATGTGGTGCTTTATGGTCATCCCATCCCATGGGAATCCAAAGATATTTCACATTTTGGGTATATTAAAATCCCGATGGATGACCCCCAATATTGATGTGGAATCCAACTTTTAACCATGGCACATGTGGATATTTTTACAGCAAACATTGAGATTTTCATTTCACGCGCAAAAAAATGGGGATTGAACCGGAAAACATGGACGCTTGATCAGCAACAAGTGGACATTTATCCGGGACTCAACAGGTCTCAGAAATAGTTGTTGTCGATTGTGAGTGCTATCATGTAGTGGCTGGGCTTCCTATCTTCACATCACGTCCATGAATTTTCCGAAAGTTGGGTTATCACGGGTTATCATAATCCCCACAAGGTGGTGCCCCATAGTTAGCTAAGTTGGTTTATAACTCCCATAACTATGGTTTATGGCAGATATAACTATAGTTAATGGGGTTTATAAACCAACTTATAACTGGGGGCACCATCCTGCAGTAAATTAGGTAGTATCTCCGACTCTGTCCACCAGGGCTTATCACAATCCCCAACAAGCCCAATAAGTTTGGTAGTATAAGTCCCTACAACCAACCAGGATATTGAAGTTTGGTTATCAACATGCCTAGTAAACTAGGTCCTAGGTGGTATACCCGGTATATGAATGGGTATAATACCCAATCATTATGATAACCAGTTGATTAGTATATAGTAACCGTAGTAACCAATCAACCAGGGTATTCTTAATGCCTCAGGTCGATCCCATCTTAGCTTGACACGCCTCACAGGCTTGTGCACGTCGAGCGATGGCGTCCTTTTGCTCTGGGTGGTTTTTGCAGCCTGAAAACACCGGCTGTGAAGGCCATGAGTTGGGGAGTCAAGTCATTGGTCAAGTTGGGGAACAATTTTGACCCACGCCCCTGTGTCAGCCCACTTTGGACTGGAAAGGATGAGCCAATGCCACTGAGGATAGTATATCTGAAGTGCCTAAAGGTGCACCAATATGTTTTTTCAAAGGTGATTTGCAACGGCCGGAGAGGATTGGTTGTCTAAGTCCAGGTGTATTCTGGAAGAGATGCCGGTCTGCTATGTGATTTGCCCCACATTTTCTTTGTTGGGAGGTTTAGTCTCAACTATTCTGCTTGGTCTTTGGGATGCTAAAATCGCTCAAGATTTCCCAGAGAAGCTTCCTTGGGTGTGTCCACCTGGCTACCGAAATCGCCGCGCCTCCCTTCTTCCAGCATTGAGTGTAGATGTCCCAGGCGTAGGAGACGGTATCCTGGGTTCTTGGGATTCCAAAGCAGCGACTTGACGAGTTAACCATAAGCAGGAACCATCACAATTACAGGAACCATCAGCAACCACAACACACCTATATTTGGCTGTTAAACCATGTTATAACTATGTTATACCTGGTTGGTGGTGCAATAACCATTTTGAAAAATGATGGAGTTCGTCAATGGGAAGGATGACATTCCATATATGAAATGGAACAATAATCCAAATGTTCCAAACCACCAACCAGATACCTTCCAAATATTCACAAACTTGGCAAGGCCAAAACCATGGTTGATTGCCATTCCCAGAGGCAAATCTAGAATGCGGGATTCACTCAATCATAATCCTACCATTTGGGGATGGTTTCAATCCAACCCATAAAAATGCTGATTTTGGGGATGCTGCAGTTTTTTTTTAACACTACAGGAACATAATTCACATCATCAACCAATGGCATGCAAAGTTTAGGTAAAATGGATGAAATGATATCATGATATCATAATCATTATATACAGTATATATATATATGTATACATATTTATCATCATGATATATCGATCTATCCATTGCACCTATGTTCCACCCTTTGTTTTAGCTCCATCAACCAACCGGATGCCGAATTTGGGCTGAGCAGCTGGTGCGTCGTAGTCGAAGAGGCACCAAGCACCACAATGAGAGAACCTTCGCCAGCGCGGTGACGATGGTGTCACCAAAAACACCCTGAAATGTAGGGTAAACACTGGTCTTTACTCCACCTGTCACTATCCCAACAGTCCAATTCAGGGAATTCTGGAATGCTTGCTGCATATTATCACCGATATGAATGCCAATTGGGATCATCATGCTACCGAGGAAGTAGAACCACTAACCACCAACAAAAATTGCGAGTTGACCAAGAACACGGAGGTCCACGTGCCGTGTGTCGTGTTTTGGAACTGAAGCTTCAGCCAAGGGACATATGGTTCGCCAAGGACTTTCGGACCTGTGGCGTGTCACTGTCCTGGCGATGACGAAGTCTATGGATAGGGGAGCCCATCAATCCACCAAAAGGATCTACAGACCATCTGATTTACCACCCAAAATTAAGGAGACCATCCATTAATAATACGTAAACTCTCAAATTTACCACCAAATTTGGGCATCTTACCGCAATTTGTCAGTACTTTTGGCCGATTTTGTGTAAGGTACTTTGTGGGTCAAGGTATACTAGAACGCGGGGGGTGGGTAAACAAGAAAGGGGCATTTCGTTGCCAACTTTCAAACATCGCCACTAATCATTTGGGAACTAACCAACGATGGAATTACTTGGAAGACAGCCGAATTTCCAGCAGAATCATCCTGGAGTTGATACATTATTATGTGCGATGATATTTCTGGGGTTCAAAAAGTGCATGGCTATGGCTCAAACATGTGGTGCCAAGGGACCCGCTTTTGGAGCGGTCATTTCTACGACTTGAAACCATCTCATGACTTTGGACATCAACCATGTTCAGCTGATTGGATCTGTTATCACTGGTGTTCCAAATGCTTTCAGGCAAGGGCACTTCGACCTGTTGGAGTCTCAAAGGGTGAATGCCCTCTTCAACCAACAGCTGTCAAACAAGAATTGCTGTGTCATGGCTGCCTAAGCCTTCAGAAGTGCTGGCATCACCAGCGCTGCAAGTGGTCCATGAGAAGATTGGTATGGGGGTTATAGTTGCAATAGTCATCCCACGATCATGAATGGGATTCCAATTATAGTGGGTATATTAACCCAAGTCGATTGCCGTATGACCATCCCCCACTATGGGTGAATCTAATCCAATCGTTGACCATGGCACATATGTACCCATATCTCAAGATTTACTCACAGGGGAAGCATCCGCCCGAAAAAAAGAAAAACTGAGCAGTGTTCAAAACCCTCTGTCACTTTATTCTACTGGTTTATTCTACTGATGATGATAATCCCCAATATTTTGGGCACTATAACTTCCGAACTAGTCATCAATCGAACATCATTTAACCATCATTTATCGATTATACAGCCATGTTGACAGGTAACACTCATAAAAATCATGGTTCCCCCTCCGGTAATCAGCTCCATGGCTAGCTGGATTTTCTCTACCATTCACTTCGATGATCTTCCCAGCTATAAACATCTTTTATCCATTGGGGATTTTCCAGCCACAGAGATGATCGATCCGGAAAGTATATCTATGACCATTCCCACAATATTCCCTATGATATTCCCTTATGACATACCAGCATTTCTGGTTGTTGGTATACCTACCAACCCCTCTGAAAAATGATGGACTTCGTCAGTTGGGATGATGACATTCCCAATATGATGGGAAAAATAATCCAGCCATGTTCCAAACCACCAACCTGATTTGAAGTGTTGGTTGAACTCCCCATCCACCCCGATTTTGGTTGAGCAGTGTTCGTCACAGGCCAAGGTCACATCGCAGCCCTTGGTCTCGGGACTGTGATCTTGCCCGTTCTTGCCCACAATACCACCTCGCGCGACACTGAAAAGGTGCGATTTTTAAGGGGCTTTCCAAAGGATCCCGGGATCCCCCAATGATGCTTCCATAGCCATGGATAATAGCATATAGCTGGATGCTTTATTTATAATGGAACAATACCACAAAAAACATCGATGATTTGGTTTTGCTCCGTTGGATCCATATGGGTTTTGTACTCACGCTATCCCCACGATACTTGAAGACCCTCCAGATGTTTGAAGGCGTTCCATCTCAGAAAATTATATTGACATTATATTGACCATGTGGTGCCAAAACTTCCAACTGCACCAGCCAACCTGAAAATCACTGATATAAACATATTGATTCCAAATTCTCAGCCTGACTTGAACATCTACTTAAAGATGATACCTCACTTTCAAATATCCAGCAAATTTCAGGTTGATTTATCCCAACTCCAGCAACTCCCACGAGATCCCCAGCAGTAGCGCAAGATGATGTTCTCGGTGAGCTCCGGCACAAAGGGATGGCATAGCTCGGCCTGCAGATGTAGAATATCCAATGAATCCAATGGCAGTGGTGTAAGTGGTGTAATAATCTCCCAAAAATAGACCCACCAGCCATGCACCTCTTTTCCACAGAGCGTGCTCTTGTGATTCCTCGGTGCACGCAGCTTTGATTTGTGAATCCTGATGGATAGATATGAAATTCTTCCTTGAAGTCTGGGAAGCCTACCATGTTTCACAAAAGATTTTGCACCACGTCGATTTTTGTATTGGGTCTACCCGAGTCTACCCTGAACCGGTCATGTACAGGGGATCGCGACATCCCCATGAACCCAACCGGCCAGACCTTGGATACCATTCCCCAATCAGCCTACCCAATAGTGCCGAACAAGGCTGGGGCAACATGGCAATTCCATTGATACTTGGGGACACTCACAAATCAATGGCCATTTCAGGAATCAATGGCGTTATATGGTACTAACGTAGCTCCATTTTAGGATCTTGAAATTCCCATTGAACAAACCCTACTTACTCAGTAGTTACTCATTGGGATACTTCTCGATGTGTCGCGGATCTTCCTCCACGGCCCCTAGGCTTTGCCAGATCTCCATGTGCTCCATGTGACATGTTTTGGATGGTGGAAGACCATCAGCACGGGGTTCCTATGCCCCTTTTTTATTCCAATATGGAGGTTTCCTAAGTCATAGGGCGACCCCTAAATCAGCCATTTTATTTTCGGATGTTCCCTTACAAATCATCCATTTTGGGATAGCCCCATGCAAACCACCATATGTTAGGAATGCCGGGAAATTCTTTTTTCCATAGGCGGCCTGTCTCATCCACAGTATCCACATGTCAAACCACAAAGCCGTACGTCATCCATTGTCCTTTTGGGAAAAAAATAAGGGCCGGTTTGGTATACAAAATAGGATCAACTACCTATTGGTTGGGTTCCATGGGGGAACCCTTTTTCTTATCAGTGGGAAAAGGACATCTACGACCTTACCTTCTACTCCCACATATTTGTGTCCCATATCTGTGATAGGATTGCCATTATTGTTGCTTGTAATTTCCATTATATTATCTTTAGATGATTTCCCCTTTCTTGGAGCTTTTATACCCTTTGAACGATGGATTAAGATCATCTATAAGCTTTAATAAACTTATCTGTAGACTATAGAGGTTTCTTTTCCCTTTTCTAGTTGTTTTATGATGGATTGCTCCCAAATATTTCTGTTCCAGAAAAAAGTGGATACATTAATCATAGGCTAATAGGCCTTATATCTCAACTTTTTTGTGGATTTTTACCCTTAAAGTATCGAAAATCACATGGACAACCGCGACATCCCGGTGTCGTTGCCAAGTGTCTTCACGGTCTCCAAGGCCTCGGGATGCTCCTTGGCACAGGAGCCATCTCCTGGAGGCCGCGTTGGGCGAGTTGTGTGTGTTTTTTCGGGGATAGCACAATAACAGATAGTCATAACCCAATTAGTAGTATAGCTATGTTATGCTATGTTATCACAGTGATTACTAGTGACTATTCTGATCTACTACTAATAGTGAAGATAGTAACATAGCTATATTAGTAATCACTATAGTAATAATACTTAATGATCATTGCTAATCATAGTTTTTTTTTTTAAAATGTAACATACTAACACAGTACCATTCTATGGGGTTTTATATACCCCATTTTTTGTGAACATACCATAGTACCGTAGCATTTTTTTGTGGTAATTCAAACGGTGATGGAAGATATCGGAAACAAATACAATATAGGGAAGATGAGGATTGAAGCCATGAATGGATATGGGTTTGTCTGAAAATGGGGGTATACCCCCCATTTTCGGGCTGGTTTTAGTGGGACACACCTGGAAAACATGGTGTTTTTTTTGTCGTGCTTTAGGGCTACCCCCTATTTTCGAAACCGATGACATCAAAGTGTTTGGGGCTACTTCCACTAACATCGTGATGTGGTCAGCCACTAAGGACCGTGGTCATGGGATGGACATGGGTCTTCGACCTGGCCGACGTCACGGATCTGGTGCTATCTCTCCACAAAGCCATATCCCATCACATGAAACATTGGTTGGTAGGTATTTCCGATATGATAATATGGATTATGATAGTAAAAGCAACCAGTATGTATGACCCATCACCCATCTCCCGCGAAAAAAACAAGATATGGAGGTTTCCTAAAATGGAGGAACCCCCAAATCATCCATTTAAATAGGGATTTTCCATTGTAAACCATCCATTTTGGGGATCCCCCATTTATGGAACCCGCATATAGACATGACTAAAGGAGATGTCACCGAGCCACTCTGTTCCACATAGCACTTTCGGTCTGCATCGTATTTGAACTCGACGGCATCCGGATTCTCAAAGTCCCATACGCAAACGTCGCCGCAGGCTGAGAACCTTGAGGTTTATGATGCACAATGGGAAGTTCATCTGCAAAAATAACAGGATTTCATTGGGACAAATGGAATATGATGGATGCGACCAGCACCAAAGAATCAATGCTGGGGGCAGCTCAGAACAATCAGTACCCTCTGGTAAACTAACATAACTATGGAAAATCACCATTTTTAATAGGTAAATCAACTATAAACAGCCATTTTCAATAGCAAACTGTTAAATTATCACTCTATTGAGGTCCATGAGGGGTCTGAACAGGAAACCCATGGTTTTTCCCCATGAAAAAAAATAGGGGCGTCCTTTGAAATTGCCTTTCAACATCTTTCAACCAATTCTGCCCCGGATCCGAATTTCTTTGGCATGCCGGTTTCCAGGATAAATTCATGTTGCCTCTTTGCAACTCCTCTCTTTTTGGTCACAGCTTGTCACCCAAAGCCAAGCTGATCACATGGGGAGGAAATATCCCACGATCATCCTTCTGAAACATCCCATGATATCCCCATCATCAAATGGTAGGTGATCATAACCATCAAATTGGATAAACATCACTATCCCATTATGCCCATGCCGATTAAACTCCCATGATATCCCCATTGTATTCCCATTAGAATCCCATTATACCGCAACACAACTCATATGCGCTATTAGAATCCCAATATAGTCTCAGTATAATCCCATTCATCATTATCCCATTGTAGTCCCAACAAAAATATCCCATTATAGTCCCATTATATTCCCATTACATTCCCATGATTTATCCCATGATTTATCCCATGATATCAACCGACTCGTCACCCAACTCCTCAACCTGCACTGGACAAAAATGGTCTCCGAGTCGCATCTTGTTGGCCAAGGCCCGATGCAGAAATGGCGTGGACGCTTCCTTGGCAGTTCCGGCACGCTTTTTTAACCACCGGCGGTGGAGAAAGACTGACCATTGGTTGACATGGGTTAAACATGATGCAAACATGGTAATGCATGAAATGACATCAATCTTAATTGATTTGAAAATCAATCTCGCGTGGATAACATGTCAAACTCATAAAAGTTGAAATTACCATTTGGTTCATAACGCTGGTTCTAACATGGGTTAAACATGATATGAAAATGATAATGCATGAATGAGATGAAACCAATCTATAATCTGAATAATCTTGATCAATTAAATGGTGTTTTTTTGGCGAATCTTAGATACCGACCTCGAACAAGATCCAAAACTGATCGGATTTGTCTCAAGATTTCCCTGATTTTCCCGAACAGCCGGCTGAATCGTCGAAACTATGAGCATCACTTGATGTAGTTCAAAATGACATTGTCTGAAAGGATGACCATCGGTTTCACCATTTTGATGTCCATGTTGGGGATAAATCCTTTCTGGACAAACAAAAATGTCTTGTCGGTGATATATCATATATATCCAATTAGAACCCGTTGTATCCCCTTGTTCTTGCGCATGAATTGGTTGGTGTTCCTCCGCATTTTTCAAAGTTGAATGGCCCAGTTCTGGACAAGCTCATGATCAATGCCCCACAGTAGGATTCTTCCACTTGGTGTTCCACAGCGGTGAACTAAGCCATTTGCCAAGTTGGGTGAATGACAAGTACCCAGGAAATCCCAGTTCAAAGAGGTGCCCAAGAGTTCGCGAAGTTGCACATAACTCCAATGACTGTTGGACTGGAGTTATAGCTATAGCTAACGAGGGGTATAAACCAACAAACATAACTGGCGGGTACCAGCCTGAATGGTACTATTCCCAAGAATATTGTCATTTTCGCAAAAAGCAAAAATCGGCCGGTTTGGTATTACTATTATTATTATTATTTTAATCATTCTAATGCTCTACTATCATGATCATTATCCACTAAATCTGTTGGTTGAATCATTATACCATGATTAGCCACAAAAAAAAAACGACAAATATGGATAAATCATTGTAAAATCGATATAACCATGATCATTATACCATGATTACCCACTATTATGCCATAAATCATGATCATTTTACCCACTCTTCGAATGGCTGGTTATGAATCAACCAGTGGGCCTCGCAGGCGCTGGCTGTCTCGGTGATGTCGCTGCTATAGCTGGCCAGCTTGAAGCCTCGACAGAAGTCACAAACACGGGGGCTTCAACGAGAAAAAACCTGGGAAAACATGGGAAAATATGGGAAAAAATGAGGGTTTCATCAACAAAAGATGAGGATTTCCATGTGATTCAATGAACTTTTTGATGTGGGACCAACCAAAATGGTAGACTTGGATATATACTGAACTAGAGGGTGATAACTGATAACCCCTCCACGTAGCTATGGTTGAGAGGGAGCGAAAATATGGAAACGGGAGAGTTTCTTGTTTCCATGACCTCACCTTGTTTCCATCACAGATCTTTACAATTCTTTACATCTTGTTTCCCCATTTTAGGTCATTTTAAGTTTTTTTCTTTAGAACGACATTGAATTATTTGGAATTAAAATGAATGAAACACGGAATGTTCACAAGGAATGTCTCTTTCCGAAAAGATTGGGGATCTCATCACGCACACACAATGCACACCCCGCGGATTCCATGGATTGGGATGTGACATGTACCACCAATGGCACATGTTGCCAGGATGGAGGAGATTGGGGGTTCAACTCATCGGCACGGGGGCATCAACTGGCATCAACCGGAGACAATGACGACAATGACGACAATGACATGGTTAAAAAATGTTAAAAACATCCCAGTTTTCCTTCAGATTGTGAATGGGTGCCGATCAATGGTCTTCAACATCCTGTTGTATCTTTGGAGGGGTAATCGTCCAGATCCTCCAGAAATCGGAGGCCAGTTTGAGCCATTGCTCGACCAAGGAGCCGCAGTGATGTCTCATGATGTTGTAGGAGAATCCTCCGCGCATCCGATCTTGACATACCTGGTGAAGATGGAATCAGAATCATTGGCTTCAAGATGCTTCAAGGGAAACAATTGAAAGACACCAACATGGTTTTTTCCCACATATTTGGGTGTCCTGCAACTTTTTTTTTTGAGCCAAATGGGGGGAAGCAAGAAACATCTGAAACCGGCAGAAGGATCATAATCCCGGAGTGGTTCTAACACCACTACAACATGGGAACAACCAGTGGATCACCATCAAATTATAGTGACATGATTATAACTTGGAAAAAAAACATGTAGTATTATGATAATGACAGTTTACAGTATGAACCACTACAACCATCATTACTGGTTGGTGGTTTCAACCAACCCCTCTGAAAAATATGAGTTCGTCAGTTGGGATTATTCTTCCCAGTAAATAGAAAAAAAAGCCATGTTCCAAACCACCAACCAGGTAAGATATTAACTGTAGTATTCCCTACTTTGTTCCCAGATTCCTCTCCGACTCTACGTGTCGCAAGTTGGATCATCCATAGGGGATGCTCATCCATTTTCATTTGGATTTTAATGGGAGTTATTCATACCCAGGAGATGTTTGGATTGGATGGGATATATATATATATGTATAAATCAATGTGTATATATATATATATACATATGTGTTTGGATTTAATGACATTAGTATATAGCCGCTATAGCCATTTATATACCCAGGAGATGTTCGGGATTCAATGACTCTTTCCATGAGATGACCATCCCATGGCACGGCCAAGGTACTGGTTGTTGTTGGGAGTATTTCAAGGCAGCTACATTGGCCACAAGGCAAGTACCTGGCTGCACTTCAGGGTGTGTTTCGCGTGTTTTCTGTGCGATGTGCTTCTTTCCGATCTTTTTGTGGAAATGACGAAATGGTCATGTGGTAAACCCAATAATAAACAATCCTCAACATCACCATTTTTCTGGATTGAAATCATCCCCAGTCATGGTAGGTTTATGTCATTGGGTGAATCCTGCATTATGTTCTGAAACTCGCTGACCGCCAAAAACTCGTTTCTTATTGCCATGTGCTGTTAAAAAAAAAACTAGGTGTTGGCCTTCGCTTTCAAGCACCGTGGGAGCTGATGAGTCAAACTGGGCCCACGCAAATGGGATTGCTTTGGTACGTTTGGTGGTGACCCCAATCCCTAGCTAAGATGGTGCAAATAACTACAGTAGTATAACTAGGGTTTATGGTAATTATAACATATCAGAACTATGGCTACGTACAGTAATGGGGTTTATAAACCAACTTATAACTGGGGGGGCACCAGCTTTGGTAAAAACACGACCAAACTCTGGCGACTGGAATTCTGGGATAACCCAAAGTTGTGAGGATGTCACTGCACTTCAACGCTGAACAACGGCGGTTTAACAGATTGTTGTCAACACTAACGAAATGACTAGAGTTGCGTGTCGATTGTGGTTTCCCATTTTGAAACCATCATGTGTATTTGTTTTTTTCCGGGCCTGTGAGTACTTGAAGAAACATCTTCATTGCTTTGGGCGAAGCGGAGAAAAGATCCTTTTGACGCCAACAAACCGCCAAGTGATGTTGAGAAAACCAGTTATTTTGAAAAACAATGAATTCATTCCTTGGCAAAACGTGGCAATTGACCTGAAAATGAGAAGATATCAAAAAACATCAAACTGATGGACGAAATTTCAGCCAGTCGGAGCATGGACATAGTTGCACCATTTTGAGAACTCGTCTTCCCGGAATTTTGGTTCCAACCAGTAGGGGTTTCCGTTCTCCAACTGCAACACCCACTGGCAACGTGGCCACCTGGGCTCGGGCTGAGCCCCTGGCGGAGAGATTGAGTCGCCGGCGGAGCTCCAGGGAACCGAACCGGGATCTGAACCAAGATTGGCTCTGCGGATCCAAGAAAACATGGCGGAAAAAACAGCAAGATACAGGGTGTATATTAAATAAATACACACACACACACATATATATATACATATGTATATAACCATTCTGAAGTAGATAGAATATGGGATTTTCACATGCACTTCCATTTTGGTGAATTATTTTTGACATTTCCATATTTCAGCTACTATATATACATAAATGACATATATGATGAATCCCCAGAAACTATAGATGTATTCGAATGCCAGCCTCCACCACTACCACCTCCAGCGTTGCTGTTCCCGCCCCGCGATGCATGAAAATTCTCAGGGTTTCGACGTCTGTCTGTGCCAAGATGATGTTAAAAACTTTGGGTTTTCTTCAGGGTTTCATGGATCACTCAAGTTCATGGAAATGTTCAAGGTTTCGACGTCTGTCTATGCTAGTCTCATTCTGAAAACGTGAGATTTCCTAGGGTCTCAGGGTTTGGACATCTGTCTGCGCTAGAATCTCAGCCAAGCAGTTGTCCCTTCATCCGGACCAGCATGTCCAGCAGGTGCAGCAGGGGTAGCGACATCTGGTGTACATGCTCCTCGAGGCCACAAAACCGAAGGTCTGCTGGCGCTGGCGCCAGAGCTTTTCTCACTGCACTTCCTCCTGTTTTCACCTTCGTAGGTGCCTTCACCACTGGAGGCGGTTCCGTCGTTCTAGCCTTCTCAGCTCGAAGTAGTGCTGCTCCTCTCCTTGAGGGATCTTCCTCTCTTTTCCTCAGCTGTTCATCCGGCTTCTTTGCCTCCACCTCCGTCTCCAGTCGACCGTCTTTCAAGATCCAGTTCGTCCATTTGGCGCTGGATGTTGAATTCTCTCACCTCTAATTCTCTCTCACGTTCGATCATCTGAAGTTGAGCCTCCAGATGGGCATTGCGACATTGTTCTGAAGCCAGCAGTTCTGTTTTTCTCTGCAAAGAGTGGGACATCTCCATCAAACGGTGGAACGCAACATCTGGGATTGCCACAGTGGAGCCGGTCCGCCAAGTTGCAACTCCAGCTGGCCAGGTGGGGCTAGTACCAAAGCTTGTGCAGTGGCCGCATCCTGCAACTCACACTCTTCGTCCCTTCTCGCGGCCTTCAGAAACCTTGGTGGGTCTGAGCGACTACGGGGGAAGTTGGACGAGCTCTCCATGGCGACGTCCTGATGCTGAATGATCTCAAAATGAATGCTGAATAATCTCAAGAACCGCGACTGCTCTGGATCATAATGATAATGCAAAAACTTTTTTTTTAAATGCCAGGGTAGCGGCATGTTGCTCTGTGCTTGGCAAAATGCCAATGTTTCTTCAGGTCGGGCCATCAGCCATCAAAGCCGGTCAGGCAGCAGTGGCACTGAAAGCAACAAAGGCCTTCTGTTGGCAACGCAGGCCTTGCTGAGCAACAAAGGCTTCACCACTCACCACTGGCGCAGAGGCCTGCTACTTTGATTTCGGAGGCTTGCTTTCCACGTTGTTTTTCTTCTTCTTGGCAAAGATTTCCTCGAGCTGAGGCATATTGAGACGAGCATGATCAAGCAATGCCAAAAGGTGACGCGATCAAGTTCGCAAGTGTGATAAGTCTCTCGAGTCTTCTTTGAGGAGATGGCGAAGTGACATCGCTGGAATTCCTTTTCGATGAACAAGTTGGGCAAAACGCTCCCCAAGACATAGGCATGGTCTGACACATTCTGTCAACACTGCAGCGTGAACTGTGACCAATTCGCATCCTTTGGGGAACTCAGCACAGTACTGCTGGACACGACCTTGTTGCAGTACGCATTCTACCACACCCTTGCAGCTGCAGCCACCTCCTTCGATGATTTTCCTCAGGTGCTGCGTTGCGATGTACACCAGTGCTCCAAATCCCGGAGCCTGCATGCTCAAGCCCAAGCCGCGACGACAAGCAGCCCAACAGTCTTCTAGGTTTAAACCACTGACGGGCCATTGGTCTGTGGCAGGGACGGGGTCGGGCGGCATCTGGGCCATCCATGCTGGCCATTCATCGCCTGGAAGCCAAAGCCAAAGCTACGCTTCAACACCTGCAAGCGACACACTTATGGGACAAGGCTGAAAGGGGTGAAGATTTTGGCGACAGGGGCTTCCGCCACTGAGGCGTCAGACGATGAAATGACGACAGTCCGATAAAATCACTACAAACCGCCATGCTAAGATGATCAGGTTGCGCTACAGGGACTCTTTTCCTATGCTAAAAACATGGGATTGGCAACGCTATCAGTCTGTGCGCACCGTTTCTGAGCGATTGATGCTTTCCTCACTTGTGTTTTCAATGAAAGATCGGGCCTGCTGGAGTTCTCATTGTCACGTTGTGTCCTTCAGGCTTGGATATTCTGCGGTTGCTTCAAAAGGCCACAGGCTCATGAAGGTCTGACGTATGACACGCCAGTCAGCTGCTTGCGCTTGGCCACAGCCTCTTTGATTCCTGCATGCCATTTTTTCGGAGCCTTCCGGTGCTGTTTGTTGAGGACCAATCTCGCTCGTGCCTGCAACTTTCCAATGCCTGCGTTCCTCCAGTCGTACACAAAACAAAGCCAGAAAAGAACTTCTACTTCGAAGCTGCCTTTTGCGATACCAGAATGCAACCGCAAAGGCGAGCTCGCTGGCGCCCCTTCGATCTCTGCAGGAACCTAGCAAGTTTTATGGACAACACTCCAAACTCCAAGCCAAGAAATTCTCAGGGTTTCGACGTCTGTCTGTGCCAAGATGATGTTAAAAACTTTGGGTTTTCTTCAGGGTTTCATGGATCACTCAAGTTCATGGAAATTTTCAAGGTTTCGACGTCTGTCTATGCTAGTCTCATTCTGAAAACGTGAGATTTCCTAGGGTCTCAGGGTTTGGACATCTGTCTGCGCTAGAATGATCAGCCAAGCAGTTGTCCCTTCATCCGGACCAGCATGTCCAGCAGGTGCAGCAGGGGTAGCGACATCTGGTGTACATGCTCCTCGAGGCCACAAAACCGAAGGTCTGCTGGCGCTGGCGCCAGAGCTTTTCTCACTGCACTTCACCTTCGTAGGTGCCTTCACCACTGGAGGCGGTTCCGTCGTTCTAGCCTTCTCAGCTCGAAGTAGTGCTGCTCCTCTCCTTGAGGGATCTTCCTCTCTTTTCCTCAGCTGTTCATCCGGCTTCTTTGCCTCCACCTCCGTCTCCAGTCGACCGTCTTTCAAGATCCAGTTCCATTTGGCGCTGGATGTTGAATTCTCTCACCTCTAATTCTCTCTCACGTTCGATCATCTGAAGTTGAGCCTCCAGATGGGCATTGCGACATTGTTCTGAAGCCAGCAGTTCCGTTTTTCTCTGCAAAGAGTGGGACATCTCCATCAAACGGTGGCACGCAACATCTGGGATTGCCACAGTGGAGCCGGTCCGCCAAGTTGCAACTCCAGCTGGCCAGGTGGGGCTAGTACCAAAGCTTGTGCAGTGGCCGCATCCTGCAACTCACACTCTTCGTCCCTTCTCGCGGCCTTCAGAAACCTTGGTGGGTCTGAGCGACTACGGGGGAAGTTGGACGAGCTCTCCATGGCGACGTCCTGGGAACCTGCAGCTGGAGCCTGTTCAAGGCGCACCACCTGATTGGCTCCAATGGACAGTGGGCGTGTCACAGCACCAGGTCGCCTCACTTCTTGCAACCAGTGAGGCAGCTACTACATGTCAGATACCAAAGCCTGTGAGGCTTCTATGGGAGTAGATCCTTGCACCCTTCCATTGCCCTCTTGAATGAGAGGCTGCCATGCGAGCCGTTATTTCATTTTCTGCAATCCACTTCTGCAACCACCCAGGCAGTCGTTGTCCGTCACAGCACCATCCGTTTGCTAAGTGGATTGCCCTGATGTCTTTGCTAAGACGGAAAGCGACCTTGTTCTAACAAACGTCAGTGTCTCAGTGTCTTTTGTTTTCCACTTCTTCTGCATTCTTCTGCAACTAACTTTTCAAAGCTTCTGACAAACAGTTTCTGCATGGGGAGGAGTGGGATGATGCCATGGAACCCTTGAGCCCTGCGGATGAAAGATGAGTCTGCCATCCAAATTCAATGGCTTGACATCCTTAAGTCATCAAAAATGGGTCGGCGGTTGAGCCAATCCCCCAGAAAATTCCGTCCGTTAATGGGTATCATCATCCCATTTGTTTGAGCCATCCCCATATCCCCATGTTAGTAAGATTGATGGCTATAGCCATATTCATGGTAAAAAAACTGTCTAAACATTGTGGGAAGGCCACCATTTCGAGTCATTCAAGTCGCTGCCAGCTGCTGAGCTCCATTTTTTGGTCGTGGTCACGTCATGCGTGCCGCGAATCACGGCCATGCCCGCGCGCCCAAGCCCCGTAGTAGTGCCTGGCGTAGTAGTGCCTGGCGTTGTTCGCTGGGAGCCCACCATATGAACCGCTTGATTGGATGACGAGTGTGGTGAAACCAATGCAAAACCAGATCCAAGTTTATCAGGTGGGAGCATTGAAAGCTGAAATATACGTCTATCTCTATATACATATATCTATGTATATATATACATATTGATACAAATATATATTGATACAAATATAAATATATATAATATAATATAATATAATACAATATAACATAATATAATACAATAAAATATAATATACTATAATATAATATAATGTAATATAATATAATATAATATAACATAATATAATACAATAAAATATAATATAGTATAATATAATATAATGTAATATAATATAATATAATATACTATAATATAATATAATGTAATATAATATAATATAATGTAATATAATATAATATAATGTAATATAATATAATATAATGTAATATAATATAATATAATGCAATGTAATATAATAAAATAATATAATGTAATATAATGTAATATAATATAATATAACATAATATAATATAATATAATATATAATATAATATAACATAATATAATATATAATATAACGTAATATAATATATAATATAATATAATAATATAATACAATATAATATATAATATAATATAAAATAATATAATACAATATAATAAATATAATATATACATATACCATGCATATAGTGATAAAGGGTTTGTCATATTCTATCATGATGTTTACCACATGAGCAAGCATCAGCTGGTACGCTGATTGGTGGCTGAGCCAGGGCTCTCCTGAGAAATATCACAGTGAATTATTGGGTATCCTGACCCCATTTTGAGGTAGGAAAACTGGAGATATTTGAAGACACCAACCAATGGTAATCAAGGAGAAATGATCTTTACTACTGAACGAAGTGAGTACTGGCTGGTTGGTGGTATACCTACCCCTCCGAAAAATGATGGACTTCGTCAGTTGGGATGATGATTATTCCCAACTGAATGGGAAAATAATCCAGCCATGTTCCAAACCACCAACCTGCTGGAAATGCTGTCCTGTTTCCAGGGGATGGACAGAAGTGTCGCCAAATCTCACCCCATTCTGCATGAAAGTTTAACACTCAACTGATTGGAAAAGGGGAAATCGACAGGACACCATGGTTAAATTTGCCATGTTTTGTCCTATCCAATTTCGGCAGCCAATTTCTTATTTCTTTGTATCAACCCCATTTTCGGGTTACCCCATCCGGCAGTAAACAAACCCGGTCACCTTTGCGCAAGGCAGGCCGAGGTGTCGCCTTGGGGTGAAATAGAAATTGGGGGACCAGAAGAATGGGAACCAATTAGAATAGTTAATTATATTCATAGTGAATTATTCTATTATCATCAACTATCTATTCATAGAACTATATAGCCGATTAGAATTGACTTGGCGGGAACTTCATAGTCAATTAGGGACAATTATATTAACCTACTAGGGGGTTAATAGAAAGAGTTCGTTTTAACCATGGGAACCAATTGGAACAGGTGGGAACCAATCGATGGTTTTTGCTACTGAGAAGACATCAATTTCGTTTGGGGAATTTCCAGCCATCTTTGATTACCAGAGGCTATCTCCAATCATATTCCATCATCTTCCATCACTATTCCATGATATTCCCGTATCCCATTAATAGTCCATCAATATTACATCAATATATCCCATTGATATTCCATTGCATCCCCATCATATTTCATTATATTATTCCATTATATTCCCATCATAGCCCTATGACATACTGTGGATGGAAGAAATCCTGCACCAGCTGGTAACCAGGAACTCTAAAACACTGTAAATAATGGGATTACAATGGGTTTTTTACCATCTACTAACTGCAGGATTTCCTCCATCCACAGTACCACCAGTTTCAGTTTTGACCTCTGGGGGTTCCGGACCGATGTGCCCGGACTGTCCGACACCGTGCGGGGCCGGCGCTCTCCTCGCCTCAATGTTCCGCTGACGGCGTTCACATGGCTATGGGTCAAAACCCTGGTACCCCTGGTGAACCCCAAAATAGCTGGGATTTATGGATGTTCATCCCACTAAAAATGTATTTATAGATATTGACCCATACCCACATTCTCCACCTCTAACATCGTAACAGTGAAGCCTCGCCTGATGGGCGAGGCCGAGCCTTCAAGTTCGGCCCTGGCAATGCTGTGAATGTGGCCCCGTCTCGAAGGCTCAAAGAAATTGGGAGAAACTAGCCTGGTTTTCAAAACAGCCTAGAATGGGCTTATAATCGGCTTATAAATGTCGATGACTCTTGTACTCATTGAACAAGTCTTTTTTTGTTTTGCTGCCATCCAACAGGTCACAAACCAACTTTTTGATGTCTGAAAACACTGATCCACACCTAGCCAGAACACCCAATCAATTTGATATTTGCCTAAATTGTGACTAAGGGATATATGATGTAGGTATGGGTCTAAAACCAGTACTCCCACAGTTGGATTGTTGAATGTCTGAAATGACTGACCATTTTGGGGTAATGGTGGTTTCTCAAAAAAACGCATCAGTTGTTACGCAGTTTTGACCCAGCCATGGAAAAAGTGGTATCATTCTCAAACATGAAATGAACCTTTTTGGGAACCTCTACTAACCATCATTTATGGTGAGGTCGGACAGTCAAGTCGTTGTAATCTGACCCAATTGGGGCTCCTATTGTTGACCCCAGAAACTGGTCCTCTGAGAATCCTATGGCCCTATGGTTTGGGACCCAACTTAGAGAAACAGCAAAAAATGCCGTGGATTTCTCAAAACACGCGAAAAACGGCTGCACCTTGCAGTTTGAGCGCGTTCCACATCGACTTCCCTCAGTGCCGACCGGGGGATGGGAAAAACACGGCAGAGATGGAATTCCTTGCGCTTCAAACCTATCCATAAAGGGTGGACAACGGTCCACAGATCTTGGCACAGCCACCTCGACGGCTTGGGATTTAAACAAAAAAGGGCCCTAGGCCCTAAGCATATCCATTATACCCATTGGTCAACTGGGAACTATTTCAAACCACTAATGAGTCAATATGAACAATGGCTATGGGTCAGAACTTCCCTGCACCCTTCTCACATCAAAATCGCTGGTAGTTATGGATGGTAAACCCCCGGAAAACGAACATAGGTTTTGACACCCAGCACCAAGCACTGGGTGTCAGTGCAGAGTCGGGTCCAATTCCTCTGCGGTGCCATGTGCACAGGGTTTGAATGGATGTTTAACAACCAAACGCTAGGGCTTTCTATGAGTTGAATGAGGTAAAATGACCAAGTTCATTGGAGGACATATGGCATTTAAAATATACCCCTATCCCATCTCATTATACTCGTTGATTTTTCTAGATGTCCCTAGACTTTGGCTTATCACAATCCCCAATAAGATCAATAAGTTTGGTAGTAGAAGTCCCTTTTTTTTAACCTCTCAACCAGGATATTTTTAATGGCTCATATTAAGTGTGTACAGAGTCTACAGCAGTCCTTTTTTGGGTCAACCATAGTCAACCGTTGTGGGATAGTTTTTCCCCCAGTTACCCAATCCCATCATTCAAATGTGACGTTGCGACATGAAGTCGTCATACTTTTTCCCAGATCATGTAACATATGTTTTGGTGGGCTCCAGCAGAATATTTTACTACCAACAAGTTATGCTTTTTTAAGTCACCAGAAAAATCAATACATAGACCACGTAGTCCCGATCTTCAAGCTGTCCTGATTCCCACAACTGGCGGGAAATTTACAGAACCTCCCCAACAAAAAGATCAACACCAGATAAGAAAGACTTTTTGGAAACCTCAAAGAGATCATTGAATGATGACGCATTATCCGCCTATGTTCGAGTGGAACATTCATGTGTTTGGGTACTTGTGTTCTAAAACCAATCAATTGGGTAATATGAAACCATTGAAATCCATTGAACACAATTACCCATTGACTTTCATGACTTCCATGACTTCCATGACTTCCATGACTTCCATGACTTCCATGATTTCCGTATGGCATTCTATAAGCCTTGAGCTTGAAACAATAACTTACTAATCCCAAAGATGAACCATGCTGCCCATCCAACATTGGACGTCCTCAGTGCTGTCTCTATCTCGTTGCCGCTCTTCCTAGGCGCGAAGTTGCCATCCACGAAAGCGGTGGAGTTTGATCCAAGGGGGACAAAACTAGGTATCATGATTTTGACCGATGGTTGTAGCCTTGATCCAATCTTCGAACATGGATGAAAAAACCCTTCGAAATTGGAGGTTGACCGAAGAAATCTGGGTCGTTAAGCCAACAACATATAGCCCCAGCTACAGAGGATTTGAACCCAACGAATGGAGATCATTTTCAGCAACAGAAATGGTGATAAAGACTTGATGATGAGATAAGTTGCCAGCGATTAGTTTTGTCTTGGAATGAAACTGTGCTGTCCTTCGAAAGGACTTCCCAGCAACTAACGTAGCGCAACGAGTCGCGGTTCAAAGCTTTTTGTATTAGCGAGTCATGGGGACGTAACCATCCGGAATCGGGATATAACGAGATATGGAGATGACATGAACATGCGTTGGTTGTGGGTCAAAAGTGTTTTTCAATCACCCAGAAAAATAGATGCTCACTCGGCTCATGCAGCCTCATGCCAGGCAGAAACTTGGTCGATGATTGGGTTTTCTATCATCACCTGAAAACTAGTTTGGAAGCCACCAAAGCTTTTCTTGTCTAAGTCTGGAAGATGATGGTGTTTTTTCCCCCAAACAATGGCCATCTTTGGGTCAGAGGTTTTTTTCGACCAGGCTGATCCTTGGGCGCCCACCGTAGACTCTACACCTGGGCCATGGGATCGGTGGGATCGGGATCCGTGGTTTGACATTTTCTTCATCCTCACCATGGCAACTATGGTTTCTGGGTGTTTCATATTGAACATATATCTGGGTAATATCTGGGTAATATCTGGACTAATATTTCACAAACCTGAATAGTTGGGCCATGAATGGGGATGATTTCCCTTAGCCATGATTCCGCTCGGGAGAACAGGGTTCGGTCGTTATAATTTACCCAGATATATTGAAGGGATTACTGAGCCTTCTGAATTAGTTCTCGATTGGTATCTCGGCACTGGAGAAACTCACACCACTTCGACAAACCAGATACACCTTCCCCAACCTGCACCAGCAATCCTCATGCTGTTGGTCTATTTAGAAGGCCTTGTCAGCAGGTGAGTCGCCCAACAATGGCAAGCCTAGTAGGAAAATGATGATGTCAAATGGGATTTTGGGGTACCTTATTTTCAGACAAACGACAAACCCAGATGGTAATCATGCTCCCACAATCCAGCCCAGGATCAGTTACATGGCGCGATTCCGTGGTGTGACTGGAAAATCTTCGAAACATGAACCAAGATGAACCAAGATGAACCAAGTTGAACCAAGATGAACCAAGATGAACCAAGATGAACCAAGATGAACCAAGATGAACCAAGATGAACCAAGATGAACCAAGATGAACCAAGATGAACCAAGATGAACCAAGATGAACCAAGATGAACCAAGATGAACCAAGATGAACCAAGATGAACCAAGAGAACCAAGATGAACCAAGTAACCAAGTAACCAAGTAACCAAGTAACCAAGTAACCAAGTAACCAAGTAACCAAGTAACCAAGTAACCAAGTAACCAAGTAACCAAGTAACCAAGTAACCAAGTAACCAAGTAACCAAGTAACAACCACAACAACAACAACAACCACAACCTGGTCTTTCTCACAATGATGCGCTCCCACCCAAAAAAAAACATGGTGACCGCGGGGGCAACCCATTGGGATTTCCATCTTTATCGGCCCTGTGGTGAAATGCCCACTTTCAAGTCTCAAAATTCCAACCTTCACTCCTTTTCGAAAAAGCATTGACCTTCGATATGTTTGGATGGTAAAGGTAAATTTGCGTTGACATATCCCATCATTTATTCTTAAATCCTCACCGGTGCTCTCCGGTCATCATAGGACGGCGGGAAGTTCCCCCCAGCAGTTCGATGCCGTGGGATGGAAAATCATGAATCTCCAGCTTTGATCATATCGAGAATTGTTCTTCATCCAATCCACTATCAGACTATGTTTATCCCCAAGCATTGCTAGCATCATCCCTAGTTTCATGGTTTCTTCCCTTATTGGGTCTTGTGGAGTCTTGGTCTCGAAATTCCCGAATTTTTTTTCCCAGTTTCCACATCTTTGGCGCCTACGTGAAGGACCTCGCCGTCCTGGCCAGTTGAATATATATGGATGGTTTAATTTCAGGATGATTTGTGGGTACCCCAATTTTAGGACACCTCCATATCCATATATATATATATATGTATATATTGAATGATTGAAATCATGTCCAATGGCCATCCAAATCACAATTTATCGCCAATGGTATTATGTATTGATATGTATTGGACATACAGCAAAAAGTAATCATATGTGTTATCATCGATACATAGCCTTGAAGGGAAGACACTTATTAAGTTTTTCTGGCTTAAACCGCTGTTTAAGATCAATCCCAAGAATGTAGCAGTGTTGCTGAACCCCGGCTTTTGCTGCTGCAATCTTCGGTTTTTGCTGCTTCACCCCATTTATCAATTTTCTGTTGTTTCCATGTCCCTTTCGCGCTAGTCAACACACCACATTTGCCCGTCAACCCGTCCATTTTGTCTCAATTTCCACCAATTTTGGTTGATTCAATTCCCCATGGATACTCTTAGATGCTACATTGCATCCACACTTGAGTGTTTAAGCTGCTTAATTTATAGATCCTAATCAGGATGGCCGCAATATCATGAAGAAAAACTGCAGAGCATCAACTAAACATCTTACGGCTACGAGTAGGGTCAAGAACAACAGCCATCAAAATTGCAGTTTGCCTCACCTGCCAAACCGACAGCCGAGCACAAAAAACAGCAACGGCAAAATGACCAAACATCGCCAGCAATTGCCCATAGATCCTAACAAATCGATCCTACAAATCGATCCTTAAAATAAGATCTTTAAAAACTTAAATATATCATGGACATATTATACACATATCATGCACATATCCTATGTGAATGGCCAATCTTCAGCCCACCAATCCTGGTGTCCCTACACAGCTCTCCTCCAGCACAAAGGATGGCGATGGCACATCCTCGCAGTCGGCGAAGCGATGAACCACCACCTGGTTCAACCGCTGGAGATGATTTACGGAGGAAAAAAGTGATGGGGATTTCACCAAAGAAATAGGGACTTGCCTGACTTGACTTAAATGAATTCTGGGATTCCTGTTGCGGTCATCTTTTGGTTAGTAAGAATGGACAATCATGAACTTACACGGCAAAGTATTGGCTATGTCTATTGCTATGATCACTGCTTCCTCTTACTGATATGATTATATGATTAGATATCCCAAAATAGCTTTGTTCTTTCATGGGTAGAAGATATGAACTCCAGGGTACCTCAAATCATCCAAGTCATAGACCATGACTTAGCATTGAAACCCATGGTGACGACTGGGGACCATTTTCAGAAACCCCCCATATGTCCCAAGCCATCACCTTACAATGGAGTACATTGCATTCCATGATATCCCATGATCCCTTTTTGTTATGATATCTCCATGATAGCCTCAATATATCCCATGAATGTCCCATGAAAAATCTCCCCAAGTCACGAATCCAAGAGGCCCAAGAATCTAACGTGATTTCGTCCACGAAAGCTCGCTTCTCAGGTCTTGGAGTCAGCATTGCCCTGGTGACGTGTTTTGGACGTGACGCTGGGCAGGGGGAAAAGGTATAGCGACGGGAGCAGTGCCAAGAAACATGGTGGTTTCATGAGATTTCATGGGAATATCATGGGAATATCATGGGATTATCATGGGATATATCACGTTTTTGGTGAGAGGTTACTAAAAAATGGCTGTAATCATGGTGAGTTTACCCCCATTAGTTGGGATATAACCTTCAAACTATGGTGATATATCCATTTGTGGCTACAAATGGATATAACCATGGGAAGTTGAGCCCCAATAGGTCGGGACACACACACGAATATGTATATATATACATATACATATACATATACATACATATATATATATATATACATATATATATATATGTCTACATAACCCCAATAGTTGGAAAAGCACCGGAAAATGAGGTGATCAAAAACATGATGTTGTTGGGTGATGAATCATTTTTTGGGGAGCTAAGCAACAAACATGGGAATGTATTTAAGAATAAAGGAGGTGATTCGTTTACCCTAGGATAATCACCATTAAATCACCATAAATCACCATCAATCACCATCAATCACCACTATTAATCTATGGTTTGTAAACTGGTGACTTGAGTTTGCTGGTTTGGAATCCCCAAAAGAACCAACCACTGCCTGAAACCGCCAAACCACACCCCGAAAACAACAGAACGAAAAACATCTACCAGCACCAACTACAGTGAATTACCATCAATTCCCATGAATCACTATGAAATTCTTAATTTATCTCAATTTGCTAGGAACTACCATGAATTACCATGAATTAGGACCTCACCAACCATAGAATCCCAACACATTTAGGCGCGCCCCCGGCGTACCGTACGATGCGGCGATAATTTGAAGTAGCCGTCTCCTTGAAGCTCAACCTCAGTGGAGCGATATAAAAACTATGGGGATCTTATGGGGTATACCTGTTTACATGTTATATATATATGCTATATAATATGCTATATATATATGTATATATTATATGTTATATATGCTATATGGCTCATGATACTAGTACAACAATAGGATCCACCATCCCCAATTTTACCATAATTGGGTGCTATCAAGCATCAACATATAGGTGGTTTATCATTGTTTTACTAACATTGTAGGTTAGATAATTTACAGATGACACTATGGGAAAACATGGGTGTATGGGTATATGACCCTTTTTGCCCGATATGGGTATCATCACAGCCCCGTGAAGTCATAAATGAAACCCGTGGGATTTATGTGTGTCAAAAAGATGTGCTTCCTCTGTTGAGATCCATGTTGGAAGTATCAGTACCTCTTAAACATGAAACATTGGAACTGGAAATCTTGGGCCGTTCTCAAGGACATGGTTGTTTGGGAAACCCGTTGAAGCGACGAATTTTGGGTGTCCCAACCCATCACTCTCAATCTTTGCACAAGTCTCGCGATCCGGGCGTCCAAAAGGTAACCTGCACACGGCAAGTTTCTTTCCATTCCATATTCTGCTTGAAGCGGTTGGTTTGCAGGCATCACATCATTGTCAAATACAACCGCAATCGGTTTTTTAGTGTTTTGTCTTTAACAAAAAAAGTTTTTTGTTTATTGCTGTGAATGACTGCATGGACTAAAGAAAAGGGGGAGTGTTCCTAGAAATGCAACGGACCAATCGGAACTGACTGAATCCCCGCATGAACGGCTGTGCTGAGTTGTGCTGTTGCAATCAAAAAGGGGGAGTGTTATCCGTTTATACCTGACCTGTCATTGATGAAAATCACACCACTGGTTGCTTCGCAACTTTTTCCGGATTCCACTGATTCCACTGGATCATCATGATCATCATAGCATTAGGATCGAACATCCTCCAAAAGAAAACATCTTTGCAAACAAACAAAATCAACTCCAAACCTGGATTCCAGATTTGTTCAGGAGAAAACCTGGATTCCACTGGATCATCATAGCAAACTTCCTCGATTTCTGGAACTGGATTTTCCCCGAGCTTCGCCGCACCTCCCATGACAGAGAGCATAAAGGATAACGCCCAGAGCCCAAACCTTGATGCAGTGATTGTTGAGCATGGATTCTGCTCATGATGCCAACAAGATAGATCAGATCAGATCAGAATAGAATAGAATAGAATAGAAAGGAAAGAAAGAAAGATAGATAGATAAATAGACAGATAAATAAATAAATAAATAGATAGATAGATAGATAGATCGACGGTGGTATATATATATACATGGTCCAAATATGTATAAAGACATACATATATACACATTGTATATGAGATATAGGTGTGTATATACATGTATAGAAAAGTGAAAAACCATGAGCACATACATATTGGGGATGAACATCAACATGCTAATCTTACTGGGGTCTTCGGACTAGTTGGTCGAAGATCCCTGTCCCACCAGGCCAGGGCCTTCTTGGATTGTGCTGGTCAAAAATCCCACGAAACTGGCTGGTGACTTTTCGAACCAAAGCAAGACAACAAGATACCGAAGAATGGCCCGTTTGGAGGGCCAATCCTTGATACCATGGATGACCATGTTGAATCATGAACTGTGCATTCACCTGTTCCTATGTGAATTACAGTCAATCTGGGTGAACTCAACAGCCGTCCCAGTGGACGCTTCATCCATGTTTCGCCCAGCGGCATCGATTTTGTAAGGATCTGCATCTCCGGAACATCCATTGAAGACCTCCGATTGAAGTGCGTCGAGTTCACTTCGGCCCCAGTTCAGAAATTCATGGAGTTTAGAAGTTTAGTTCAGCTCCAAAACCATTTTTCTGCCCGGACAGGCTTCACAGGGACGAAGATGAATACAAGTGCTATGGTCAAGTTACCATGAGATATTTTCCATTTATGGTCCATGTCGCATGTCATGGGAATTTCATGGGAATCCTGAAAAACATTCCATTAAAAAAAAAAACAGTAACGGATTGATGATTCCCATCCCCCAAGATCGCTTCATCTAATACATCTTTTCACCATGGTACATATGCTTTGACGATGACATGTATAGCACCCCCCAAAAAGATAGAACAGTAACATATGTCACATCCTACTGAAATAGTCAACAACTTTTCGGCATCTTGTTGGGGGCTTGCCATGTGCCATATCCATATGATGACATCATATCTGCAACGATTTCCACCAACCCACTGCGGGTCACACCTCCGGAGCCAGATAAGCTTCTGTGCCGGCGTCTGTGACGGTGCGCTCCTGAAACTGAAGGCGGCATGGGTGGATCCCACGGGGAGGTTAGCCCAAACATTCAATTCATGTCTTAGTGGTCAGCAAAAAGATCAGAAAAACATCATGTCATTACATTCAATTCATGTGATACTTGTAACAATCACGCATTTCAAAGAACTATTGATAGGGATTGGGTGTTTCGAATATTCGTTGCATAATCTAGATCGCCATATTTGTTAATGATCTGAAACATGATCTGCAAGATCTGGGGATAAGAATCAACAAAGACGGGAAAATAATCCAACATCATTTGAGAGACCGCAGAAAACGATGACCATGATTGTAGACTGGCAACTGTTGCATGGTGTTGCCATCATCTACTCAGTGATATCTGGTTTGTTAGCATCTAAATAGTTCACTGTTCAATCGGGACATTGTAGAAATCCTTGGCTCCAAATGGTTTCACAATTCCAATGTCAGCATCATTGTCATATCCATTTTCGTCGTGATCCCGTTCTATCCAAAAAACTTGGTTGCGCACCATTTTTTGGTCACAAAAAAAAACATGGCATTCAAAAAAAACACAGCGTAAATCGGATTTACACACATTACATTTTGGATGTACATTAAATACGTTCATGTACTAGCATGTTGTTGGCTACTTTTGGTTGTTAGCTACTTTTCGTTGCATTCCCAATTTTGTTCTTTACTAGGGTTTATTTTTGGGTTTATTCTTTGGTTATCATGGAGTTGTCTTAAAATGGTGATGCCCCAAGTTGTGTCTTTTTTCAATGGAAAAATGGTGGCGAGCCGTTGGATTTCGGGGTTTTCCCCAAAAAAATCACAAACTGTTTGGTCATTGGGTGTACCCAATGAATTACACCATGTTACAACAGTTTTCTTCGGGAAATTACTGGGTTTACCCACCAAAATGATGAATTACAACAGATTACATTGGGTATACCGCATTAATTATTGGGTATACCGCATTCGTTTTTACCTGTCATTTATTAATCTGCAATGAGTGAATTATGGGGTGTCCCACATGTATTATTGGGTTTCCCAATGATTGGGTTATCAATCATTGGTTAGCTTACTATTTCCTAAGTATTTATTGTTAATTATTCTTTATTCCCCAATTATTCGGTGAATTCGGTTATTAATTAATAATTGGGAAACCAAATAATTTTTGGGTTAATTATATTTGATTATTGGGTTACTAACCAAAATCATTGCCAGTTCAAAGTTACGTCGTTAACGATGTTCTTTAGACTCGAGCCTTCGAGGAGACATAGTCAGAGAGCCCAAAGTCCACAATTTTGCACCTGGCCATTTTGGAACAAGAGTTGTGGTCACAGATATTGTTTATACAGATATCATACTTATGTGGGTAAAATATAAAAAATAAATCCACCCGTTCGAGAATGGTTTATACCACCTATTTATGATGAACTTGGGGATTGTTTATGGCATTGTTTTACTCCCTTTTCTGCACCCATCATGGGTAAACCCAAGAATACACCACACTATTGGGGATGGTTTATACCAGCTATTTCATCTGAAATTGGGGGAAGTTTATGGAATTGGGCTTACCAGATTCACTTTTAATAAACCATCTTGTATACATATTATATGTATATATATATATATCATATATATATATATATCATATATATACATATATACATATATATCATATATATATATATCATATATATACATATATACATATATATCATATATATATATGTATATACATTATAGAACAATGACCTACAACAAAACCCATCTCATGGTCGGCCGCTTCGGCCGACAAAGGTATCACGTGACCACAAGCAAAAACTCCGACCTGTTGTGCGCATCCAAAAGGACATTCTCAAGTTTCAAATCGCGGTGGATGATCTTTTTGCTGTGGATGTAGTGCACCTTGGATGAAGTCTGAAAAATTAGGGACCTTTAAGGATTGATTTAAAGATGTTGAATGGGTTTGTTAGGAGAACATTTAGCCAGCTTTGTGGGATTTCCATGGAAATTTACCAAAAAATGAAAAAACAAATCCCATGTTCTTGTGAAATATCTCCAATATGGGACCCCAATATATAGATCAAATACTTGACCAGGCTTAGTCAACCCCTGGAGCTTGGTCAATGCGGCAGCCACTTTCTAACACAATGGGCACCCCGTCGATGGAAAACGCCACTTTGTAGTCCAGTGCTGATCAAGGGATACTCATTTCAAATCTAAAGCTTGGTTCGAAATGAACATCCTGATTAATCCCTTCCCCTCCATTCATACCGAATGCTTTTCTTGGGGATCTTCATATTCATAGGGACCCCTCAAATCAGACCTCCAAACGCCTCAGCCAATCCAAAGGCCGTCCGCGGGACCAACCGTGAATATTTCATGGCATTTGATTTGGGTGGAATATGATTCGATATCATTCATTTTTCCAGAATGAAGATGACCAAAATCCAACGCATGATTCCTGGATTTTTATGACACAGAGCCATTTTGGACCGACTTCATCCAAGATTGGCCATCTCTGCGAACAACTATGGGAATCTTAGGATCCAATACATAGAGGTACGTTACTATATTTCAGGCCATATTTTGCTGGGATATTCCCTGAAACTAGCTAAAAAATAGGCCAAACATATATGGTAGGTACCTCCAATGTTTATCGGTTCCAATGGCCATTGATATGGCTGGTTTCTATCCTCCGATGATTTCAATTGGTTACAGAACTGCGGCTGGTTGAGAAAACTTCATCCCACGCCGTCCCATTTCTATGATTGAAATTGAAGGCACATCTTGGCACCAGCTAGTTATGGCAGGCTTTGAACATTTGATGGTTGATTGGTTGTCCCTTTTAAATGGCAATTCTATGGGTATACTTCCATTTTCGGACACAAGTATCATGTTTGTTGGGATTGGTTGATGGTTGACACCCTTAAAACCATGTTCCGAAACGAAGAAAACTCAGCTCTTTTCAGCTCCAGGGACGGCCCGGACGATCTGCTTAAAGAAGGTGCGAGCCTCGACGGTTAAGAGCTGTCACCATCGAACTGGAGATTTCCGTGGGGATTTCATGGGACTTAGTGGGGAATTAATGAGGTATACTCCCATTAAATGGGATATTAATGGGGATATCATGGGAATTTTCATGGAGTGATAGAACCTCCAAAAATATTCAACACCATCAGTCACTATGGTCGATGTGATGGAACCACAAAAACTGGGGACTGGCCGATGGGGGTGCTTAATATTCGGGAGATGATAAGATTCATAGAGATAAATGGGCCATCTATACCATAGCCATCTGAAATTATCAGCTATGACACATTGGGATGGTATAGTTATTATAGTTTTCCTATGAAGCTATGGTTTTCCCTATGAAAATCTGAGGTTTCAAATCTATCAGATTGTAAACATGATAAATCTCATATGGAAAAATATTTGCAACTTTTTTGGGGTTTTCGAAGTTCAGGTTTTGCAGATGAACTTGATTGGATGAGGTCCGTTTGCTCTTGGAGAAACCCGAGCTTTACTTGGGTGAATTTCTGGTGACCCTCCGGTAACGTAGCGCTGGGGACATTCCCGATCCAAATGGTGTCAGGGAAAATAATCGAACCACATGTGGAGGATGTTTCAAGCCACGTTACCGGAGGCTCGTTGCGATTCCAACATCATTTCTGGGCCCTTTTTCGAGTGACATCTCGATGAATATGGACTAAACATGACTAAACCTAGGGCCCATCTCTGCCCTGCAAACAGATTTCGACCATTTACAGGACATCAAATACAAAGTGATATCATGTGATATCACTCCTGCATCAACATTGCTGAAAGCCCAACATTTGCACCAAGCGTCCACACGTGACATGATTTTCATCAACCCAACTACCCTCATATTTCTGATGAAATCTCACACGCATAGTCAGTATTTTTCTAGATGAGCACCTCTGTCATCTGATTGGTTTGTTACTAGGGATCCCCTGCTGGTAATAATCCCAATATAAGCAAGGCAGTATAATAACTGTAGTCAAGCATCAGTTGTCCAGCTGACATCCCCATGTTGCTTCGAAACCCAAAGAAAATGATAACTCAACAGCCAAATATCGGGACCCATCAGGATAGCCATTTTCAGTGGGTAAATCCCAGGCAACGACCTCGTCCTCTTCCAGGAAAGAATGCTTCTCCACATAGCCACGCCTCAGTAGCCGTGGGTAGCCGCCAGCCACTGGGCCATTTGAAAAACTTCTGGAAGGAATCAACGTGGGTTCTGAACCTCGACATTTTGGAGTGTTCCCAATTTTTCAGTGAAAATGACAACCTTGGGGCAAAACTGAAGAGCACAACATCTGACACGACACAGTGCAGTTATTATCTGCCAATTTTGGCGTGACTAATTTGACCCCTATACTCCAATGGCGATTGGCATCTCTAGGCACAACCCATTCAATTTGGAGGTCTCATGATTTTTGAGCTATTTCCATGAGCCAGTGTTTGTACTTCAGAAAACGAATGGCACCGAACTGGACAAACTTGGTGAGCTCGGTCGAACATTTTAAGGCCAGTCATGGAATCCAAGAAATGATCATCTCCCACTGCTCGGACCCCACTGTTGAACCACAAAATGGGGCGTTTCCGAAAATGGGGGACCGAAAAAAAAAACAATGTACTACCGACGGGGTCGATCTTTTTGGATGATTTGGGGGACCCCAAATCATAAGAAACCAGCAAGTCTGAATCCGAATGATGAATATGTCACCAATCATAAACTTTGAGCCATAAATCCCACCAAGTTTGGATCACATGGATTTTGCAATAGCCTCTGCACATCCGAGTGTTCTCTGAAAAAACATGGAATGCACTCGGCTCCTGCCAGGAGCAGCATTTATCACAGAATCTACGGAATCTCTGTTTGATTGCCACGGGTATCAACAGATGTTTTAAGCCAAAAAAATAAGGAGATACCCATGGATCCCTCTTTCATGGCTGGATTCCCAAGATCTAATCCATGTGAACATCACCGAATATCAACATCAAACTCCATTTATACAGAGATAGACAATTATCAAAGGTGCATGTAATGTATATATAAATACATAATATATAAATATATATAGACACTACATATATCTACAGATAAACTGTATATGCAAACAGGTATGTTGGGATACGATTGTCACCATGAACCTGGCACAAGCCGTGGGGGTTCGGGGGGGCCCCCCGCCCTGGGACCCTGGGATCTCCAACAGCTCTCCACCGGCAGCGAATTCCATGATGAAACAAATGGAGTCGGGATGATCCGCAACCTCCCAGGAGTCCCAGGAGGGAACCCAAAAATTTTTCAGGACAGGATGCAAAAAACGCTGATTTCAGGATTAAACTACCCATCCAAGGTTGACCTAGAAAAGAAGAAGTGTCTGAAAAATGCGAAAACATGGGGAAACCGTGGGAATTGAAGCATCATTTAATGATGATTTCATGGAATATTGATGGGATAATAGCGGGATATGCCCTCTGCTAATCAGCTCCATGGCTTGCTGGAAAATCATCCATTTAGTTCGATGATTTCCCAGCGAACGAAACTTCCATTTGTGTGGAATTTTCCACTCGGCCACATTTGATTACTGGAGGGTAACATACCTCCAATTTATGATCAATTTACACTGAGACCCTAGGTACCCTAGCTGGTGAATGGGTGGTTATTCCTGGCAATTTCATAGGTTTTGGCCCATGCCCTATGATTAAGCACCGGATTTGAAGGTGTACCCCCAGTAAATGGAAGAATCCATCAAAGGTTCACTGGTTGGTGGTTTTAACCCCTCTGAAAAATATTAGTCCGTTGGGATGATGACATTCCCAATATATGGAAAAATAATCCAAATGTTCCAAACCACCAACCAGTTCAAACCAGTTCATGTAACTTATGGTCCAAGGCGTAGTGCCCCAAGACAACGTTTTTTGGGCGTACCTCTATGTTGGGTCCCTCAATGGGCCAAAGGCATCTAAATCATTGGTTTCCTCGTCAACGCAGACCCCAACTGATAAATGATGAATTGGGATTTGACATGACCCCAATCTGGGTGTGTTTGACTCTCTGCAAAGCCCATCTTTGCCCAGTTTGGAACTTTTCCAACACCGTGAGTTTCTTCACCCAAGCAACGTCTAAGACGCGGATGATATGAGGGTGACGCAAATTTCTCAAGGCCTGGCAGGCAGATCGTATCCCCAGTTTTCTAGCGGTGGTTGAAATCACAAGGTGAAAACATGGGTTTGTGGTGAGCTATAGATAAATGGGATTCCAATGTGCCATGAATCCTGCACTTACCAAACAAGATATGAATCGATATAATCTATATCATATTATACCCTTTTAAGATCTTTTAAGTACCCACTGCAAGCTGAATTCAAATATCTGTTCTACATCTATTCTATGTTTGAAGATACTCGGGATTGTCCGAAAGTAGGCTACCCCATTCCAGCCGTTGCTTAGTCGTCAGATAGCCATGACTTCGGGGTAAATCCCTCATGTTGAAACGCCACCTTTTGGGGGGTCGCTTTTACCTCAGGTTGAAGCCCATTATTACATATGATTACCATATTTGAATATACCGTATTTAAGGAGGTGAAATTAATTTGTTCAGTATATGAATTTGATCATATTACTACCATGAACGGTGAACTAACAAATCGGGGTTGAACCACCCACATTAACCATTTGGATGTTTGAAAAAACCATGGGCCCGCAGGGTGACCACAGCCCAGCCGGTAGTTTCACCTCTTATGAGATGGCAGGGGCAAAAATCAAAGCCGTAGTAACCAACCATTTGTTCCACTCATCATGCTAAGTTGGTGAACATAACTACAATAACTGTTGGGTTCTTTGCGCGTGAAACTCGTCAACCGAGCAGAAACGGGTTGAGCGTGGCACCTGGATCTCTTGAAAGACACGTTGAAGATCTGAAAACTGGCGAAAGCTCTTCTTGGGCACCTGGGACATCGGATGGTCATTGGGCACAGAGGCGGGCGTTTTTTGTATCATCGGATGGTCATTGGATTGGCTTAAGGGAAAGTCTACAGGAAACCATGGGCACGGAGCAGTTTTCTTCATAGCCAACGTTTTTTTTCAGCTGGATAGTCGATATTCCTATAGCAAAAGACATATTCAGGACTAAACTATTCATCCAAGGTTGACCTAGTCTTGCATCATCGGATCAATATCAGATTGGCGGTGGGATATGATGTGTATGTACTGGAACATTGCGTATAGGGTATGACATTGTACTTGAATCAAAGCATGTTTTTTCCAGGGTCAAGGATGCAATCCCCCAAATTGTGGCTATGTTAATAAGGAAATTGATGATGACCCAGTGGAAGGGCTTCTTTCCATCATTTTCAGCTTCCAAACCTAAAGTGTTTGTCTGAAAATAGGCTACCCGGAAATCCCATGGAATTACCATCATGTTTTGTAAGAAACGATATGAAATTGCCACACTTTTTTTTTTCGGGTTGTCCCTATCATTTCCAGCCCCGTTGATGGCAGTGGATCAAGGATCAAGCTATTGGGTCGCTAGGTGCCCGCGCAAACTTCACAGCTGCTGCCTCGCCGGTTTCCACGTGAACACCTGGCCAGTTCAAGCACAGTAATCTAAGCTGCACAACGATTAGAGATGTAGCCTTCTGTCATACATCTCGTATGAACGATATATGTCATTAAGTGTGTAACATATGTATACATATGTATACATATATATATACACATATGATTATATATATATATTATAATATAATATAATATAATATAATATTGAACAGAGAATTTGGGCTCTTAAATCTGATGAACACTCCTGAGCACTGATCAGCACCTTTTCACTCAGTCAGCTCGAAGGTAGCTGAAAGCACTAAGATGGCTGCAGCACATATACAAACATATATGCTACATGTGACATAGTCTACACTGTACACATATCTGATCACGCCTCCCGAGCCTGTTTAAAAACGGCGCTCCCGTCCAATTATTTGAACTAGGCGAGTTTTGATATGTACAGCTACTCATAGCCACGCTCAAGCCATCTATGCTCTCAGTGTCAGGTGATGCTCACCTTCCAGAAAGTGAAAATTCATATTTCGCAAGGCTTTATTCATTTTCTCTTCTATGACAGGTTTCGTCAAGACGTCGGCAAGCATATCGCCAGTGTCGACCTTCTTCAGCCGAAAATAGCTCTTGGCAACGCGGTCTTGTACCCAATGGTATTGAGTATCCACGTGCTTGGCCTTGCCTAGTCCTCTGCGAGAACCCATTGCTATTCCTGCACTTGCGTCCATGAAAACTTCACTCTCGGGTTGCAAACCCCAGTCTTTGGCGGTTGAAACTTCTCCCAGCAAATTGCTGGCACCGCTCACAAGAGCGTAATACTCACTCTCTCCAGACGAAAGACTAACAACTCCTTGTCCTTTAGAATAAGTCTTGATACAACAACCTCCGGCCATCAGGACGCCTCCTGACACGCTCTTCCTCGTCTTCACGCAACCAGCGTGGTCAGCATCAGACCACATCACAAATGGACTGAGTTTGCTCTGATGAGGAAAGAATTGTGCCATGCGTGGTCGATACCTTAGGTATCGTGCAACTCGTTTGAGCATAAGCATGTGGCTGGTAGTTGGTCGTTGTAGCCCTTGTGCTAAAGATCTTGTCGCTACTTGCAGATCTGGTCGATCTTGTGCCAAATAAGCTGCTCGCATTGCAACTGATCTGTACTGGGTTGCTTCTTCATCATTGAGAAAAACAGTGGCGTTCTTGAGGTCTTCCACTGAACCCTTGGCAAGTGGTGTCTTGACTTTGGCTCCTCGGGGACCATCTCCGAGTAAATCAATCACCAACTCTGCATGACGTGCATCTGGTTCCCACCAAATTCCATTCTCCTTCCATGTGATAATTCTGTTCAGGACTCTGATGTCCTGGATGGTGTTTGGTGTTCCTGGTGGTCCTAAAATACCACGTTCCACACATTTCCACTTCTTCGACAGCTCTTCATGAAGCCATTTGATGTTGTCAAATGTTCCGGCTGTTGTAAAATCATCTCCATGTACAACAGTTCTGAGGTCTCGGCCTGCATGGTAGTAAATGCATGGATTGCTTTTTCCTTGCTTGAAACCTAAGGCTAACATAACCTTCTGTATTTGCAACTCCCAGTTGAGAGGTGCGTCTCTGGTTCCATACAAAGACTTGAGCAATCTTCCTACCACATCTTCTCCAGGCTTCTTTGCTTCTGCAGGAAGTTCCACATAGATCTCACGCGTCGCATCTGAGTAAAAGTGGGCGCGTTTCACATCCAAAAATCCTAGAAGTCTACGCTTGCGATAGGCTTCCTTGACAGCTTTTCCAGCGTCTGGCAACTGAAACGTGACGGCTATTGTAACTAGCATCTTCAAAGCAAGCCGACAAACTGGGCATAGCTGCGAAGAACTCATCAAAACCTGAGCCCTTCTTGACTTCTTGAGCTACTAGCCTACTTCTATAAAGTGGATTCTCTTCATCCTGCTTGTTGACATCTACCCATCGTGTTCCAATGGTGCGTACCCCTTTGGGCATCTTGTGTCTGGGAATCTTTTCCCAAACTGGAAAACTTTCGATGATTTCGACCTCATCTTTTCTGGCTTGTTCTACACCTTTGCTGTCTAAAATCTTTCCACTGATATCATCGTAATAATACCATGTGGCTGCTTCATCTTCCAGTTCTGGTGGAAGAGGAATTGTCTCTTCACAAACTGGCTCTTCTTCACCTTCAATGAACTGAAGGTACTTCTCCCGATCTTCCATGATCAGGTTCATAAGACATTGGTCTATGTCATCCATGTCTTCTGGTCTCTCATTCTCAGGTGGCCGTTTGGTGCCCTTAGACGCCTGAGCTGAAGCAGCTCGGCTGTCCTTGGACTTTGACGTTTCGCCTCCTGAGTCTGCAGGTCTTTTCCGACCTTTGGTTGGAGACATTTCCAACCTTTTGTGTGCTCTTTCTTCTTGCTCGCCTCCTGCCCTCTTGGCTGAGGCTGTGCTTGCGCTTGCGCTTTCTGCAGGTGGATCTGCAGCTTGTCCGGTAGCAGGACTCTGCCTCGCGATAGCAGGTCCAGCTGTTGGCAAACTTGGAGCAGATTCCCCTGTGGCTGAGTACCACAGTTCAGTGACGATATCTGCGTCATCAATCAAAGGCGCGTTGATGACTTCATCTCCTAAACTAGGATCCATTGGTTCAGACTTGATAATGTTTCCTGTTTTTGAAATCTCTGGTGACTCTCCACCAGACATTATCCCAACTGGGACCTTCTGGCATAGTACCCTTGAGATACCTTGCATTCTTGTCAAGGCGCGCAAACACCTTAAAACCGTGAGGAACTTCTTGTGGTTTCTCACTCGAATACCCATAAAGAATCTTTGTGCCTTCTTCGGACACTTCTTGTTTCTGACCAGTGATTTCAGAATCAACCTTGGCCGTATGTTGGGCTACTCTCAGGTTGCCCTCTTCTGCTTGAAGCAGACGTTCCATCCTTTCTCTGCAGGCTGGAGTGTGATGAACTCCAGTGCCTCTTTTGCCAATTCTAGTGGCATCACAGGCGACACAACCAGCGGTGTAGCCATACTTGTCCAAATCACGTTTGGTGATGTAAAGTCGTCTTGTCGACTTCTTTGGTGGCTCAACTGGCACTGATGGCGCCAGTGGCTGCTGATCTCCCCCAACAATCTGAGGAAGCAAAACATCATCTCTTTTTGATGCTTGAGGATCCCAGGGAACCCCAGTGACTGACATCAAAGTTTCGGCATCATATCTGTCGTCAGCACTCTTGCGTCGAATGCTTTGCACAGTGAAAACACCTGATGCATTTCCCACTATCTTCTCAGTGGTATTGTCTTTGACTCCCAAGAAAACTCCTTGGTGCCATCTTTGTTCAAACTTGTGACCTCTTTTGAGGAATTCAATTGTTTCCCCAAATGGTGGTAATGACACTCTCCACTCACGACCACGGTGTCTAGAGTACGGTGTCTTCCCATCTTTGACTTCCAATGATCTGTGAAACAAATTGTAAGTGGTGCTAGCATGTTCAACCAACCATGTCAAAACTGGGTGGTCGTCTGGCACCTTTCTTCCATAGCTTGTCTCCAAGGCACTTCTGAGTGTCCTGGATTGAGATTCAATAGCTTGAACTGCTCTTTCAATTTCCCCTTTGGATTCTGAGACTCCTTTGGGAACTTTTTCCAAAACCAACTGTTTGTCAAAACCATTCTTGGCTGCCTCAACTACGGAGTTGAGTGCCGGCTCTGGGTCATATCTCATGACCATCTTGGGGTACCCAAACTTCTTAAGGTCATTCAAAAGACACTTAGATCCAATAGGACCTTGGGTAACTCCCTTGTATGGCAAAACGTGTGCGTAGGTCAACTTGGACCATCGATCATGTACTATCAAAACTGGTGCATGCTTTTTCTGCACTTCTTCGGTGATGACAATGTCATCCACTGAATTCATGAAACAATAGTCAGCTGAGATCACAGGAACTGTTTCATCTGAATGATCTACTTTGACATGTCTCATTGCCTTTGCCTTACCTCGAATGCAATGTTCACACCAACTCCTAAAAGGATAATGGCTGACAAAATGCTCTTCTTTTTCTCTCTGCGTCGGCGCTGCTGCAGTTGGTAGCGCTTGAGAACCTAGCTTACTACTGCCCGGTTCATCATCTCCACTACCTGCGCTCTCTGTGGTCTCCACAGGACTTACGCCTTCAACCCTTCTGTGGGCTGCCCATGAAAATCCATGGCTATCTTGAAAACACCTCCAGTCATGGTGACTGGAACCTTCTTGGCTCCCCTTTGCAGAAACGATCCATTGGGGCCGAAGGTTACTGTCCAGCCTTTCTCAACCAGCTTGGACACAGACAACAATGGCTTTGCAACATCCATTGCCCGGAACTGTCCCACACCTTTGACTTGTGGGCCTCCTTTCTCAC